AATTGTATATATTATATAATTAAATATTAGAATAAATGTAATCATACACTATAATATACAATCAAATCACGTCAAATACGTCAAACAAATATAATATTATTTAAGTGGAACGCGATAATAATATCTAACAATAAGAAGCCTTGGAAAAGCATCGTACTACTTGAAGTCGCGAATAGAAGTGACGTTAATTGAAATGCACTTGGATGCGTTATTTAGCAGCTTTACACTTTGCGGATCCTTCGAGCTGTGTTCTAAATAAGATTAGACCTAAAAAGAAGTTTTTTATATAGATAAACATAAAATTGCAAAATTTTTTATTTATAGATAAAAGAGGCTGGTATGACGCGATATCACAGTGATGTCCGATCGATCAATCAGTTTTAAATATTTCTTAGATATTTTCTTTTGTGTTATTTGCATGTATTGTTTATTTTGATTATTGATTATCATTTCAGTTTATTCTCAATTTTTATTTTTATTTTATTTTTTAATTAACTACACAAGAGGAAAAGAATAAACAATTGTATAAAAGATGAAAAAGGATAAACAAAGTGTTTAATAGCACATTCAGATTGAGAATTGAAAGAGATCTCGCATGACGCGTCTGCCACCTGTAGCTGACCCAAATATTGATCAGGCCGAAAGATGGCCACGCCCGGGTTCACTCTCGCATCGTTGCGACCCCATTGGCATCCCCCGCTTCTTCCTTGTGCCACCCTTTCCTAGTCCCTCTCTTTCTCTCTCTCTCTCAATCGTTGCTACCGTTGCGGTCGTATGCCGCATGCGGCGATGCGCTCCTCCTGGTCCGTGAATCCGCAGCTGATTATGAACAAGTGCGCTGTTACTGTTCCAGCTGCTTTCATGCACGTACGTGACAATATTGAGGAACTGGGTAAAGTCGCCAATGACACAGACCTGTTATTCTTGAAGGGTCTACTCGACAGCCCGGTCGTCACATCTCTTGTAAAGGTGAGTGCACATCTTATCTTTAAACCAAAGTGGACTGAGAATCATCCACAACGCGAGAGTACCCGATAATCTTTGATCTTTGTTAGCTTAGTTAAGTGACTTGATGTTATATAACAAACCCTTTGGATCTTTTATCATTGTATTAATTTGGATTTTTTCTTGGAAGAAAGAAGTGTGTAAAATTTTAAATTATGGATGCAGGAAGGTTTATTTTTTTTTTTTTAATTACCTTATATGTTTATCGTTCTCGATGTTGTAGGTATGAAAAATCTCAATGAAAAACGATAGCAATTTTTCTTACACAACTAGCGAATCGTAAACGCATGAGTGGATATAATTTTACTTTATACGCTACGCATAGCTTCCATGTGCACGTCCATGTGCTCATTAAACAGTGTTTACTATGATCGCGAAAATTTACGAGAAACACATGGATTTACGAGTGACTTTATCTCTCTCTCTCTCTCTCTCTCTCTCTCTCTCTCTCTCTCTTTCTTTGCCGTGATATCTTTCTAATTTATTGCGTCATTAAATGAAAAATTAAAACATTTGCGCGAGTGTTCTGGCAAGCTGTCTAAATGTTTCGTGTCGTTGAACCGATAGCTCGTTTTCTTGAATGTGTTCGTCTCATCAATAAAACGTTGATCTAAATTAGTGAACGCGATCATACAATTAAAACATAAGCTTGATTAAACGAGAAAATATTTTAATGTGCTATTTTAAATTTCTAAATGCAATTCTAAATCTAAATTTATATAGTGCTTGCACGATCCAAAGAGCGAGGCAATAACTAATTATAGATCAACTGCAGCACATCAAAAACCTACATTTATTATCTATACTCTCATAGACATAAGACGATAATATATAATACATAATTAAACTTTATGACTAATATATCTATTTATTGCATTTGAAGAATATTTTCACGATATAGCATTGAATTAATCTAGCATGCAAAAATATAATATAATTGATTGTCGAGAATTTAGGGTTGTTTATTCGAGCTTGTGCAATGTTTAATATTCTTTAGAACATTTTCCTTAGATTGTATATTATATCCAGAGTAATTCTGAGGATCTTTTACAAAGCATTTGAAAATATATTTTACATACGCCGCTGTCGATTTGCTTGTACGTCGCCTAATTGCGTAGCTGGGCAATGTATGTATATAATTAGCTTACGAGAATGAATAATATCATCTCACTGGAATCTGGTCGAGTGAGAACGACGACGCGGCAGGATAGAAAGCAAACCAATTTATCACTCAGTATAAAAAAAGAAAAGAATTTGGAAATACGCGCGTGGTTTTTTTTTTTTTTTTTCGCTCTACGTGCCTTCACATGCTTGAAACGTTCGCGACACCCACGCTATTTCGGTCGCGACACACTTCTCTATCGCGAAGAATAACGCGTCGATGAAAATATTACCGGCGAGAAACGTTATTATGCGACACGATGCGATGTTTTTCTATACCAATGTGATATATACATTCTGATTTTTATCATCTCTCTCTCTCTCCCTCTCTTTCTCTTTCTAGCAAGATCTTATATCAAAAAGTCTTTTCATTTTCTCCATTAATTGCGCAATCGCATGTGCATTTCTCCTTGTCCACATCGGAATCCATATTCCGATAATTTACCTGACACGCAAGTAAAACATGTGACTCCAGGTAGAGAGCGTCCGGTGCCAAGAAATTATTAAAGAATCGGCTCACGTATTTTCTTTTTAATGCTGGACTGAACCAACAATAGAAACTGCTGACGGGCACGATAAAATGTTCACACTTTCTTTAAAAAAATCAAGTTGGCAAGAACTCCTGGATGGTGAAAAGAAATATAATCAAAATTTGGATAATTGATTGTTTAAAAACCAGGAAAAAGATATAATAAAAAAGAGAAAACGATGAGAAAGAAACAAATTAAAAATATTTGTAAGATTCTTAATAATATATAGTTACGCCTGAATGGATCAAAAGTTATTCTAACGTTTCTTACACAAGGAATATTATAATTTACAAATAAAATTAAGAGACGCGAAGAAAAGAATGAAGATTTATGGTAATCTCCATCAATTGACGAATTATAAAACTTGCTCTCTTTCTCTTAATGTCGGATAATTGGCTATGACCTCGTAGAAACCTCTTAATTGGACGGGTCATAGGTGCCTCCATAGAGTCATCGCTTGCTCGCATAAATCCATGCGAGCGTGTCACGGTACTATACGAAGCCTACATGCGTATTTTTGTAAGTCGTAGTGTGTACAAGACGATATCATTTCAGTCGGGGAGTCGACTTTGTGATCGTACGAGAAGTGGGAGAAACATACAACATGTGTGTTAACTCATGGCCATACGTATGTGGGTGACAGGACTGTAATGACATGGCTATAATGATTGTACCGGAAATGGAACAGTGTATTGAATCTCTTCATCTCAATTGTAGCTATTCTTCCAAACATAGAGTTACACTTACAAAAGAACTAGCAGAGTAAAGATGGAACTTAAACATTTTACTTGTATCAATTCTAAATTGAAGACAATAGATATCCGCATATTTTATATGCATTTTACATACGGATAATTGGCTATGACCTCGTAGAAACCTCTTAATTGGACGGGTCATAGGTGCCTCCATAGAGTCATCGCTTGCTCGCATAAATCCATGCGAGCGTGTCACGGTACTATACGAAGCCTACATGCGTATTTTTGTAAGTCGTAGTGTGTACAAGACGATATCATTTCAGTCGGGGAGTCGACTTTGTGATCGTACGAGAAGTGGGAGAAACATACAACATGTGTGTTAACTCATGGCCATACGTATGTGGGTGACAGGACTGTAATGACATGGCTATAATGATTGTACCGGAAATGGAACAGTGTATTGAATCTCTTCATCTCAATTGTAGCTATTCTTCCAAACATAGAGTTACACTTACAAAAGAACTAGCAGAGTAAAGATGGAACTTAAACATTTTACTTGTATCAATTCTAAATTGAAGACAATAGATATCCGCATATTTTATATGCATTTTACATATTTTTTTTTTTTTCATGAAAATAAATAATTAAAGAGGAAAATTTATCATTTATTTTACGATGCATTTTCAAACATTTGGAATATTTCTGCATTATCCGTATTGAAGAAGTTTGGCCTCGGATCGCTTTGAAAGCTAGATATGTATAGCAAGAATAAAATGATAATACTGGACATATGCTGTGAATTGACATCAGATCAACATATCCATGATTGCATCTACTGCTGTTCTTCGTTCAACTTTACATAGACTTTGACAGAATTTCAATTTGAGGGCTTAATTTAAAATTCACGTTTAAAATAAAAAAATTGCGACAAGTGATGATTTTTCTCGATAATTTTGCCACACAACTCAAAATCAAGTCAAGATTGACGAAGGAATATTCAGATTTAAAGAGTTAATCGAGGGCCACTCCGTGTATCAACAGCACAGCCGATCTTACTCAAGCGATGACCTTGGAATAAGGTCTCTGGACGAGCAACTACGTTCCTGGAGTGAGTGTTGCATGCCAGGAGAGGAAGGACCCCCACCTGTTCTCCAGAACGACAGCAGGCGACTCGCCTGAACGGGCTGCTACGCGGAGGGAGGTAGCCGACGTCAGTATAGGCGCGGCAGTTTTCTGACGCTGCTTACCTACGTGAGAAGTGTCGCGCGACATACTGAATCCGAATATTTTCCTCGTCATCATCTGCGTATTATACGCTGCTCTTGCCGTCTAGGTAGATAAATCTAATTTCCCTTCGTGTGCCTCACTCTCGCCGATCGATACCATCGCGAGGACATCGACACGACCGCGCTTTAGTCTTCACCAGTCTACTCGGAGCACCGCGTCACACAGGTCTTTCTCCAGGTGAGCGTCGTTTCTGAGGAATGCAGAAAGAATATCTCTGAAAAGATATCTAAAGCGAACAAAAAATTATCCTCTCTTCGGCTTTATGAATCTTTTTCTAAGCAGAACATAATTATTATTTCGCAAAAAAGCGCGTAGTCATTTGCGAAAGCGCGAGAAACACGTTAAAGCACCGTTAGTGATTTATATTAGTCGGTAATTAAAAATTCAGATGTGCATTAATATGACGAGATAGAGTGAAATTGATGAGATTACTCTATAACTTGATTCTGCCAATTACAAACCGGAATAAACGATAGAAAGAGGTCAAGAACGCACAATCTCTTTTTGATGGTAAAGCAAGCGACGAGTCCACTCATTTGACGATATTCAGAAAAAAAAAATGGAGGAAACGAACGTTTTTAACCGCGATTCTAGTGCAAAATGTGACGTGATTATTCTCGACAGAGATATGGCTTCTCGTTTATCATCGTAAATCGCTGCAAATCGAACGTTTCGTTCCTTCAAAGAAACACGAGCGATTCACATCTCAAAGGATACGCGATCTCGGCGGCAAAGTAGATAAATAAATGCCCGAACTCTTTATAGCCCATAAAGAACCAACTTGTTGGCTATAGTAAGTGCATCTCTAGCATAGCTTTCGATAAATCTCTATTTTAATGGAATTGGAAACCAATACAAGTTCAGTGAAACTCTGTATTGAGAGAAAAAAAATTATCACATCAATTTGATAATCCGTAACGAAGGACGTTTTGATAAATCTCGCGTTATAAACGCTGATTTTTTGACGAATCTCGTTTGATGTTCGAAGCACATGTGCGCGTTGAACAAACAAATCGAAAGCTTACAATTAGCGTTGAAAAATTTCCAAGAAATGCAGCTGCTATTTTCGGCCGGGATCGGTAATCATTGAGAAATCATCCACCAATTTCGTAACATACATCGAGTACGTGATGAAGAATTCACGTTCAATACTGGCGATTGGTAAATCCAATACATGTAATGATCTTTGGTGAGCTTGAGATTGCAATTCTTGAAGAGAAATAATTCGACGGTGAATCATCGACTTTTGATAGTATTCTGTATTTATTTGATTACATCGCGCGCATTATGTATGTGTTATTTACAGGGTAATTGAAAATAGATTTACAGGCCTGCATTATCTGAATAAAATTTTTTTATTTTTCTGAATATTTCATAAAAAAGGCAATCATGCAAAAATAGATTATATTCGTTGAAAGTTTCAATATTATTTCAAACATATCGAATCTGTAATTGGCCTACTTTTCTAATTACTCATTCATTGTAAACTCTACATTATTCTAAGCAAATATATAATGAATTAAATGACTTATGTGGCAATTAGATTAATTCTAATCCAATTAAATATTATCATCATCATCACCACTGCACATTTACTCTAATCATTAACAATGTGTTAATGACCAGATTTTTTCCCAATTGCGTTTAATGCATCTCGAAAGTGTATATATGTATATGTATTTACATAGTTTCCATAGTTTAGATATATATTTAAAAAATATTAATTTTTTCAGAACTAACTTGTTTAAATTTATTATAATATTTTCAGTAAACAATATCAGAAATCAACACATTGATATCTTTTATATGCGTGTCTCTTGATAAAAAATAAGGAAAATATACGGCAAAGAGAATCGGCAAAATAGTTTAAATATTAATCAAAATCATAAATATATATATATAGGAAAATATATTATAATATTAATATAATATATATGAGAGAGAAAATGAAGCGTTAATAAGTAAAAGTTATCGAAGATGCGCTAGCATATAAAAGAAAGGATTGTAAAAGAAATATATCTCTAAGATCCATAAGAGAAACCAGTTTTTAACACGGATTTTGATTTGAAATCTTTGTGTGGTCTAGGTTCAGGAGCGTCTGGAGGACCCGCCAGTGCCCGTAGAACCGGTATGCTCATCCGTCTGTGACATCGTTGACGAAGTGTGTGAGGCCTTTCAAACCTCTAGGAACTTATATGCTAAGGAACTGGTGAATCTTCTCAGGAACTCGCATCTGAAAGCGCTCTTGGAAACGCACGACGCAGTTGTGGAACGCAAGGAAGCGTCTTCTAAAGCGATTTCTCCTTTAGTAGCAATGCCGACAAACAAGAAGGAAGCAATGCCTATGAGGGTGGTCGGTCTTAGAAGACAACCAGACGAGCCATTGGTAAGTCTATTCTATAGGTAGCACAGAGAATTTTGCGTCAAAAAGCAATTGCAAATTGTTTTTACTGTTTAATATTTGAAAAAATAATCTATTGACTTTAGTTTTAATATCCACGAGATATCTGCTCGAAGAAATTTCTTTTCATTTTTTTCGTTTCACGAAAATAATGTAATTATAAATATTTGAGGAAGGAATGTTCGTTAAGATATACGTGAAATCAAACTTGGATGTATCTGAGATAATACTAGAAAGTTTATCGTGAAAATCTCCATTCTCAAGTTAGCTGCCAGAAAATTCATTTAAAGAAAAGGCGGAAGTACCAGTTTATAAATAAAAACAAATGTTTATTTCTTCGTGCCGGCACGATCACCAATTCTTCAGCGATTTTCTAGTATCACATACTTCTTCAAGATAGTTTACACATCAAAATATATATAGCTTATACAATCTTTGACAATCGTTACGCGGATAATCGATTAATACTTTGTTAATCGTTACGCGGATAAAATATCGCAAGCAAAGGGCATTTTATTGAATTGTATATATGTATAATTGTATTTATACATATATGTATATTTCTAGGGTCTAACAGTACAAGTCGACGAATCTGGGAATATGATTATTGCCAGAATTCTCGGTGGCAGCACGGCGGCTCGTCAAGAGCTTCTGAGGATAGGTGAAGTAATACTCGAAGTCAACGGTAAAAGAGTTCGAAACCCAGAAGAGCTCCAGCAAGCAATCCAGGAAGCCAAAGAGAACCTATCACTGAAACTGGCTCCAGGTATCGCTATTGATACGAATCGACTTCTCAAGTCTACGGTAAGCGCATCAAATTATTTTTTCACCTCGGTGCTTCCGATAACTGCTAGGTTTTTGTTCTTTTTCACAGTGCTCGCTCATGCGTAGAGAATACAATGTCGCGTCATAATCGCAGAGCAATGAAAATCATAACTTATCAATCTACATTTTGTTTGATTTATCGTTACAGTGTTACATGAGAGCCCTTTTCGATTACGATCCATCGGAGGATACGCTTCTACCTTGTAGAGAAATTGGCTTACCTTTCCAAAAAGGCGACATCCTCCAAATTGTCGACCAAGCTGATCCGAATTGGTGGCAGGCGCGAAGAGTGGAGGGCGAAAGTCTCGGATCGCCCGGATTGATACCTTCGCTGGAATTGGAAGAGCGCAGAAAAGCCTTCGTGCCGCCCGAGGCCGACTTTGTTCACAAAATCAGCATTTGCGGCACCAGGATATCGAAGAAGAAAAAAAGGAGAATGTACCAATCTAAATCGAACGGTGAGTTCGATGCTGCCGAGTTGCTTCTCTACGAAGAAGTCGCCCGAATGCCGCCATTCCGACGCAAGACTTTAGCCTTGGTCGGGCCTCGCGGCGTAGGTCGGCGGACTCTGAAAAACAGGTTGATCAACAGCGATCCCGAGAAATTTGGCACTGTCGTACCTTGTAAGAAACATACAATTAATTAATACGTTTAATTAAATGCGGATAAGGTGGATTAATTATTATATTTGGCAAACAATCTCTCTTTCAAGACACATCAAGGCCACCTCGAGTTCTCGAGGAGGACGGCAAGAGCTACTGGTTCATCGATCGCGAGACGATAGAGACTGACATCAGAGAACACAGATTTTTAGAGCATGGTGAACACGGTGGACATTTGTACGGTACAAAATTGGATTCTGTGCGAGAACTAATAAGAGCCGGCAAGATGTGCGTATTAGATTGCAGTCCGGCCGCGCTCAAGATCCTCCATAACAGTACCGAGTTCATGCCTTATGTTATATTCATCGCAGCGCCCGGAATGGAGCAGCTGAAGTCTTTATATGATCTCGGTAGATCGACCGGTGCTAGCAGTCGGAATCTAACGGTATATTTCAAAACTTGCTTACATTCTGTAAAAATTGTCTTCCCTGCGTCTGTTAAATTCTATGCTCACTTTAGAGCTCCTTCTGTCAATTTTTATTATGCGACGCTGGCAATTTATATATGCGAAAACTTATTTATTTGTATTTAGTTTTATTTCTTTATTCTATCAGTTTAGTTAATGAATTTTGTTGTAAAAATTCAATGTTGGCTTCGCTAGTTCGACCGCCAGAGTTCCATCAGATACAGTTCGAGAAGAGCTAGGACACTGGAATCTCTCGCATCTTTATACGAGGTTTGTATTGCATGACGTACAATTATATGTATTATGTTATTCAATTTTATACTCGATCCTCATTTACAATTTTAATTTTGTCCCATGTAGAGCATGTATCTATAATATCCTTAATTTGGAATGTCGTAAGATTATTTTAGTATGTAGTTATGAGATTAACTATATTCTAATATCGCACGTTTTTCTATGTTTTAATTCGTAGAACAAAATCTATATCATATAATAAAACCAACATTTCGTTACACAAAAATATCACATTCTCTTGGCAGGTGACAAGCAATTCCGCATCATTACATTACTGTAATTAAATACTTTTCCAAACTTTGATAATCGGAATGAAAAGGAAACAAGATACAAACAAGCTTTGTCATTTCGTCAAAATTGTATTTCATATACTTTCATTGTTATAAAGTAACTCCAGTGCTATATATTTAAAAGAAAAATTATTTTGAAACAAAAATACAAACGAGGATTTAAAATACACTCTAAACACTATTGGGCACTTACCCAGTTTGTGTGCATATGTATTTCTTAAAAATAATATTTTTTCTTTCAGATATATTATTACGTAATCTATATATATCACATAAAGCATTATTTTCTTTTAAAGAATAATATTCCATACAAAAAAATAAAATTATTAAAATAATTTAAATAATTAATTACTCCGTTAATAGGAGGATGATTTGAGATCTACGTTGGAGGAGTCCGCAGCTTTGCAGAGAGCCTATGAGAAATACATCGATTTGGTGATTGTGAACGAGGATTTTGACAATACCTTCAGGCAGGTGATTGCAGCTTTGGATGCCTTAGCTACGGAGCATCAATGGGTACCAGTCAATTGGATTTATTAATTGGTTCTCGAATGCAGCATTCGATGTAACAGAAAAATAGGAAGCTAAAAGAGCTGTGCCAGTTTTATGCGCGAATAAACGAAGAATTTATTACTGCTGATGTCACATTTGAAAACTATGAGATACATTATGAAAAGTATGTATATTACTCTCTTATATTCAGAATAAAACTCCGTTTATTGCGCAACTAAGAAAAGACGAGGCACGTATAATAAGAGTACAAAGAATGTTACACTTCGTGCCGCATGAAGCGATATTGATATCGATCGCGCCTAAAAAGCGCGAGAGAAATCAAAAGAATCTCATTGCCGTTTATAATTAAATGCAACGTAGCGTTTACTTTTTATAAATTAGAGTTAGCTTTTTATAAATTTACTAAAATATGAACCGTTCTATGTACGGAATCTAATACTTGAATTTTCACACATATATAATACATGTTAAATTGTAATAGAAGAGCTAACAACTGAATTTTCTTCAGTTCAATCATTCGTTCTTGATAAATAGAGCAATGAAGATAGAAGATCCTACTTATATCTAAGAACACGATACTTTTTTAATGGAGAGAGAAAAGTTATATCGCTGCATTTTTTACTGCCAATTTCTACAACGACTATATTAACAATGGGTCAATTGATGTAAAAATATTAGACTGCCGTCCAATTAATTTTAGTTTATTTTTAATTTAATTAACAAAACACATGTACATGATTATTTATATGTTCAAGTCTATTATACATATATTTCTCGTGTCTCGTTTGCTTTTATTGTTTCTGTTTCATTTTGTTGCTCGTGTATGCTAATGATAAGTATCCTGGCATAGAGTGCCTTAATAACACAAGTCTATAATTCGATTAATGCGAAGACTTATTATGTCGAGACAAACTCGTTTTTACATTCACATTCAGAGTTTTATAGACAGATCTAAGAATGTGTTTTCTCTAATGTCGGACGGACAGTCATATATGTGCACACACACATTCGATTTTTTCAACTCTACTGATATCTTTCGAAATGCATCCAATTTACAGATTAAAAAATCCAGGTGATCTTGTATAAATACATAACAAATGTAATGAACTATATATCTACAATGAAAACACTTGTCCTGTCATGAAAAGAGCAACGTGATGATGCACGATGTGGAATAAAGTTTATTGAAAATATTTGTTACAGATTAGAAACATAACAAATGGATTATTATTTCAATATTCCTATCTGCGATTTTTCTTTCAACAATCTTGAAAAGAACACTATACAAACCTATTGTCAGGACAGGTATATCGATAAAAAAGAAGTAAAGTAAGAAAATAATAAAATGATATACTAAAAGCAATTTAATTAAATATATAGAATAATTTTCTAATAAGCGCGCGTTTCGTATTTTATTTAAAAGTCCAATTTTATTTAGCAGAAATTTGCATACACAAATTCCATTTAATAAATAGAGATTCAAATCCACCTAGTGACAACTCGAATCTTTCTTATTGTTAGCAGAGAACTGCTTAGCCGAGACTCGAACCCTGCTTAGCCAAGACTCCAACCTCACCTATCCGGGAGTCTAACCCTACTTAGCAGAGACTCGAAAATAATTTACAAATACTGAATATAGTAAGAAAAATATATATAACATATGGCGTATGACGAGTGTTTGTAATATTTTTTCACATATAGAAAATTAAAACTGAAATGTGGAAATAGAAATCTCTGCAATCTTTTTTTGTGCGCGTTTAAAATCTTTGAAATGTTAAAATCTTGCCTGTGAAAAATTCGTAGTGTCCAATCAATATTAAAATAACAAGAAATTATTCACTAAAATAAAAAAAGTTATATCAAATCTCAAAAATAAAGCAAATGAAAAAATCGAAACAAAAAGAAATGAGCTAAAAGCTAATGCATGAGAATGATAATCTAACATAACCAAATTTTAAATAGGCTCACGCGGCCGATCCACCAATTAACTGCCACGTTTCAAGCAGTTTCAGGGTGGCCGGTTTTGTCACGTAGAGATATCGTGCTTTCTACAAATTATACCGCATCGCGCGCGAATTGGCTCTTCTGTCATCGAGAAAAATGCAAATATTACGGCAATTGGACGTGCATCCAAAAGTGCGCGAAGAGGCGGATATTCTTGTGAGAACCTTTAGCGGTGCCATCGGTAAATACGAAAAATTGTTATTGTTTTGAGTGATGCTCGACGATTTTCCGTCGATAATCCCTGCCTGTTCTTGGCGAAAACAAATCTCGAAAATTACTATAAAGACTAGAGACGGGAATATTTATTATTATTATTCTATATTGTACCTAATAATATTCGTTACGGTGCAAAGTAATGTCGACGAGTGATTATAACCTTCAAATTTTTTTTATTAACATTCTATAAAGTATTTTTCTCGTCGATACTTGCACAGATATTTGTTACTGAATCAATTTGCCATTCTGTTTTCTATGTGTTTTCTAACATTTAACAAAAACTGTTACATTTGGCCCACAATAAATAAAGCGCAACTTGACATATACTTTATGATCGATAAAAAAATATTGATTCTACACATGTTACATCAATGCAGATGACAAAATAATGTCTTTTCAGTTACAATCATTAGTACAATCATCATGGGTATACTGTTTATGTCAGAGATAAATTATTATCTCACCCCAAGTATGAGTGAGGAATTATTTGTAGATACATCGAGAGGTTCTAAATTAAGAATCAACTTGGATATAATAGTTCCTACTATATCCTGTGATCGTAAGTACAAATAGTGTTAATAAAAAAAAACGATACAGTTTTCATCTTATGTAGTATTTTAGTTTTATCGATAGATGCTATGGATACAACTGGTGAGCAGCACCTAGATATAGAACACAACATTTTTAAAAGACGGTTAGACTTGAATGGTAAACCCATAGAGGATCCACAAAGGACAAGTACGTGATGTTTTTCGCGATGATATATATACGAAATAAAATCTTATATTAAAAATTGTTTTATTGCAGATATTACAGACACTAAAGCTGTCAATAAAACTACAGAGAAGGTAACAATGGATTTTTATAGGTATCTTCCGACTGAATGTCCATTTGCAAACTAGTTATTATTGGATGGGACATTTTTACAGGCAATGGAGATCAGTTCCACAGAAATTTGTGGAGACTGCTATGGGGCAGCCACAGAGTCGCTGAGGTAAAAGAGAAAAAGAGATATTGTTTATATATTAGAAATAATCTATCAAAAATGTATATTTATATAAAAGAATTTTATTCACAGATGTTGCAATACTTGTGAAGACGTACGGGAAGCCTATAGATTCAAAAAATGGGCTCCACCAATTGCAGCTAATATTAAACAATGTCAAGATAAGATTTTCTCTGGAATGAAATCTTTGAACGAAATCAACAAACACGCCTTCGAACAAGGCTGCCAAATCTACGGTTATATGGAAGTGAATAGAGTCGGCGGAAGTTTTCACATTGCTCCAGGCGACAGTTTTTCTGTGGACCATGTTCACGGTAAGCTAACAAAATAATTTAATTTTTCTATAATATTCACTGTTGCTTTCATTAACTTATTTTTCAATATTGCAGTACACGATGTTCAGCCTTACACTTCAACTCACTTCAATATGACGCATAAGATTAGACATTTAAGTTTCGGTCTCAATATCCCAGGAAAAACAAATCCTATGGATGATACAACTGTAATTGCCACAGAAGGTATGTTTTTATTCCTTAAACCTATTTTATTAAAAATTCAATGATCTGCTCTTACAATACAGTTGTAACTCGGAGATAAACTCCAAAATGTTCCATATATAGCTTTATCCATGAACACACACTAGCATCGTATTCCTGTTCCAATAGCCATAAATGTGCCGAATGTACCGCCACCTTGAATCATCACTTTGCCAACATTGTTTACCAATTCTCTTCCCCTCAATCCATATCTGATAATAAAACATTATATGCATACTTGGATTTAAATCAGCTAATGTATATATATAATTTTTTGTTCGATGTAATACCTAAGAGCAGAAAATCCTCCAAAGAGCATACCAGAGGCCATTCCTACACAAAATCCAATTGTAAAGCCTAATTTCATTCTGTCAAAACAAGAAGGTCCTTGTTGATAAGCTCCTCCAGGTACTACAGGCATTTTGCAATCTGCAAAACATGTTACGGTTCCAATGTATGTTCACAATTCTCTTTTAATTCTTTGAAAATTACTTCAAATTTCGGTTCATAAATTATAACACATAATAGAAAACTAAATTGAATTTATCTTTCTGTTCGAATAATTTTGCGGATTTCAACTTTTGAGTACACAATTGCAAATATAGCGGAATTTATTGTTGCATACATACATTTGCAAAATGTTTTGATTATGCATACACTTACTATTAAAGCGTCCGTTATATGAGCTTGTGCACTTGCGATTAATTAGATATATTTAGTCTTACTATTCAATTTAGGAACTTAATCACGATTCTGTAAAATTGCCAAAGATTCTTAGCGCATTACACTAGTATCACAATATCGGAAGGGCGCCATGATGAATCCGCGATGTGATAAAAAGGACGGCTGCGCTGTCTGCTACTTACTTCCGTTGACGTCACTCATCGATTCGGCATAGCGCGATATTCAATTTGCGTATCACGAAATATAAAAATTTGTGAATTTTATTTCTTGAATATAAAGAAATAATATAGAGAAATGTAAAGAACTTTATTTTTTAAATAATATAGAAATTTCAGGATTTTTTTTTTTTTAATATGAAAGAAATAAAACCCAAAAATTATTTTTTTAAGGATATATATATAGGAATTAAAAGAATTCGCTTTTATAAATATATGCAAAAAATTTTACAATTATTTCTGTTAAACACAAAGAGATTAAGGAATTAATTTTATAAGTGATTTTTCTTTTGTATTCTTCACCTAATTTATCTGGTCACATGTCAGCACTAGTCATCTGCTGCTGATACATGAGCAGTCAGAACATTTTAATCAGTTTGAAACATTTCTATTGATACGATTATTTTGTTTTCAGGCGCCATGATGTTTCACCATTACATTAAGATCGTTCCAACAACATATGTTCGCTCGGATGGCTCGACCCTTTTCACGAATCAATTTTCTGTAACACGGCATGCGAAGCAGGTATCTTTGTTTACCGGCGAATCCGGAATGCCAGGTATATTCTTTAGCTACGAATTGAGCCCACTCATGGTAAAGTACACAGAGAAAGCAAAGTCGTTCGGACACTTTGCAACAAACACTTGCGCCATTATTGGCGGTGTATTTACCGTAGCTGGACTGATCGATTCGTTGCTCTATCATTCGGTGCGTGCAATACAAAAGAAAATAGAATTAGGAAAGTATAATTAATAACTTTGATCAGGTTACAGCAACATTAATTGTCGCTAATCCTAATCTTATTCTCTCTTGTATTGATATAAACACACATTTTAATGGTATTAACAAACTTTGAATAATTTTTCTATTTTAAAATAAACGAGATGAACTGCTAAAAATAGATTAGGATTAGCATTAATTGTTGATGCGACACAGCCTTAGGAGAATAATTATTAAGTAGAATTATGGAAAGTATTACTAACATTGTAAGATTATTACACTCTGCTCCATTTTTTATTAAGAACCAAATTCTCTGCATTATCGTTGCGCATTTAGCGCAATTGTCAATCTTTATTTCGTATTTATTATATTAAAAATTTCGTAAACATTAGGTAAATATAATTCAGAACCAATTAGCGATACCTAGCGTTATATGTGCAATACTACCATTCTTCTCTATTTTGCGACATAAAAATAAGAAAGATATGTATAAAAAGTAATGACATACACTAAATATTTGCCTTTTTTTACTTTTTATTTAAAAGATGATAATAATGTTATGCTCATAACAATGACATATAAGAATTATTTGTATATGATATGTACATAAAAAAGGGACAAAATATATAAAAGAAAATCAAACATTGTTATGAAAATAGAAATGATGTATGATCAGAAATAAATTGGGGATGTGTAAATTTATACATTATACATTACACATTTATACATTAACATTTATTTACATCAAAACACTACTGGGGTTAAACTGTTTTTAGAAACGCATTGTAAACATCAACAGATGTCTTTGCGATGTTCATGCAAAACTCCGCGTCTGTACCGCTGACTAAGACTCGTGGTGAAACATACATTGGTTTAGAAGGATCATACTGTGCCTTTTTCATTTCCACCAAGAATGAATGCCTCTGTTGAAGTCTATTTTTTCTACAAAGTAATATATGCGGCATTTTCACAAGAAAATCATGTTGCAATTGCATTTCGTGATGAGCATACTCAAATACAGCAAACAATCTTTTACGGTCTGAAATAACAATTAAGAAATGGATTAGATAAATTTTACATTTATGAATTCTGAAATTATATTAATATACACTTACTTTTCACCCAAATCTTAGGTAGAGTAAGAAGCAATTGTTTCGTCTGTTCCTCATCAAAATCCATATCTTCTTTAATAGTCAATGTGTTTGACATTAAGTGTATCATATTATACGTTATTACTTTGGATGCCTTAATTGTCAAGATCCTTACTTCATTACCATTAAGTTTGAAATTACTTTGGAAATAGCCAAGTCTTCCATCTATATTCTTTGTATCAAACAACAACCAGTTGGGATTTTTGCAGATTATAGTCTTTATCGCATTAATGTTAAACTTATGAGCCCTCAGATATCTTATTCTTGTATGAAGGTCATCTATGTCTTCCTTGAAGATATTGGGATTCTTTGTAAGAAAATCACCCAAACAATTAGCAGGTACACCACAATCGTGCAGGAATCTTATATATGGTTTCACATCTTGTTCAAAATCAAGATTAAGAATGTACTGCAACATTCCCTCCTTTGATTCAAGTTTATATAGATTGACTCCAAGCTTCACCAGTTCTTGGATCGTACGAGATTTGTTTGCATACTTTGCAAAGGTGAAAGTCGGAGTAAGATATGGACCAATGTCCGATATATCTTCGGTGCACGTGTCCAGAGGATCCGGTAACGTTATATCACGATCGTCGAGAAAGTCTTCACTAGGCAAGTTAGTAATAGTTTGTTGAATATGACAAGGCGGTGTTATGTTTACATTATCGTTTAGGTTATGCTTAGATTTTAAAGTATAATTTCCATTATCGGTTTTTGTATATTCCGATGAAGTATTCGAATTGAAAATCTCAACATTAGTTCCATTTTTATCGCTTTCCTTCGGCAAACATTGCTTGATCCTATTACTTTTCGAAATAAACCGTGCAATTAAATTTGTCGTGACTGGTCGTGATATTGACAAAAGTGAATAGCATCGTTGAAACGGCATATCCAATATTGGCAATTATATAAAACAGTTTAAATAAAAGATGGCAATTTTTACATATATGTACTCAAATATTCTTATTTATATATAATTATCACACATAGATTCTGGATCTATATTTTCTAGCAAAAATACACAATTATTACACCTATAACCTATATCTGCATGTCGTGTGCAACTACATGTGTGCGAAGCGCCTCTATCCGTAAAACGTGAACTACGAAGTATTTTTTCAGTAGATAACAAGTTACTTGGTTCCGTTCCGAGCTATATATTATATATCGATAATATAAATCTGTAATGCAGCAATTTTTCCTTTTTTTAAGCTTTCTCTAAATGCATTTGATATTACATAAATAGAAAAAATCTATTTTCCAAGAACAAATAGATAACAAACTCTCTTAATGAGTATCAGATTCCAAGAGTTACTAAGAAAAAGTAAAAAAAAACAATATTTTAATGCCAGTTTTTTTTTTGAAAGTTCTATTTTATTTATTTGATAGAAAAACAAAAAGTATTAAATAACTATATAAATTAAAATATTATACAAATATGAATAATTATGAGGTTTGCAATTTATTGAGTCAACATGCGCATCGCGGAAGAGGAAGAACAAAAAATACGATGCAGCATATGGTTGTATGTAAAGAAATATTTTATTATCTTAAAACGGTGAAACATGTATTAAATATAAAAGCGGCAAGTTAATGCATTTTAATTTACATCAATATACAATTCAGGCAATACATAATACTCTTTGGACATCCTGTCTGTTTTTCAAAAGCATGATTCAAAAGGCTATTTGTATTCGCAGAATTCATATACTCATTCACACTCTCACACACACATACGTACATACATTTTATTTATATACTAGGGCCTTTAATTATGTGTTATCTCTTTACAGCGGAGTTATTATGGTAAAAGTGTAATGATGTATCTGCACTATATGTTACGTAATAAGTACATTAATTACACATTAAGAACACTTTGATTTAATTAAGATGCAATCCGTACTTTAATATCAAAACAACAAAAAAAAACTACCGGAATGTTGGTTAAGATAGCAGCATGTTTTGTCGCATTATCATGCATGCTTATCTGTAGTTATTGTTTTTTATATGCTGACTTTCTCTCTAACTTTGTTTCCCGCATCAGATGGTTTAATTTCGTAAAATTGTTGTAATACGGCACAATGAGATACATTTTAACAGAAAGTTTGACTAGGCAACTCCGATGTGTGTTATCATTCTGTGATTGCACAGATATATTTATATTTTTTTTCTTCCTCAGATTAATTAACGTTTCGCGATTGAGATCGGAGCGATCATTGAATTGACAATAGCCAAATATACACAGCACTCTGTGAGACCTATCTAGCTGTAAGTCGATGTAGATATATAATCTGCATTTTGTCCTTAAATTAAATTAAACATGTGCCCTGCACTTTCTCTTATTCTACCACGTTTATGACTAGATGTGTGATGTTTTCATTCGTGTTTCGGTCGCGTAGTCAGTTTGCCATTCGCTGCTTCGTCTGACTGACGATTTTTTGCCTGCTGTCGTAACTGGGCACGTCTTAGGCTTGTCATTAATTGACTGGATTGATAAAGCCAACTGGCCTAAAAAATTGTTTACAATAGTCAGACATGTAGCTAAATGTCAAAAGGCATATTGACAAAGTTAGTCAGTCTTGAAGCTATTAAATATAATATTGCTAATATTATGTGTACTTACCACCATAATCATACAATTAATTAAAATAGGTACAGAGAAGACGACAGATATAAATAAACCTTTGGAATCAAAGTATTGCTGTCTAGAGAATACCCTGTAAAAATCGTTGAAGAAATTATTAAATCAAAATTTAGTATAAATCTGAAAGAATGAATTGCTTTATGTTGCGTGTGACATGCTACAATTGAAATTGATACATACATCCAATTTGTTGCTGCAACCTCATTAATACTTTCTGAGAAATAAACCAAAAGTACTGAAACAGAGATAACTTTATAATAATGTTTCAGAAACAGATGAAATTGCAGTAACTATAGCAAATAAACTCTTACATAGTATAAGAAACAAAATTATCTGAAAATTCGCATGATTCCTTGTCATTAATGCAGTCATTGTGATGACTATGTGAAAAGTAATTAACACAGCAAGCCATGGATCTCTCCAATCAATCTGCAACAATATGTTTATACAAAATATATTTATATCAATCTTGCTCTCTGGAAAAAAACAAATTGATATTAAAACTAATAGAAAAAAAAGAACCAATTTTTCTAAACGTCTGAAAGAGAAATTTAATTTTCACAACTATATTATCTTATTTATTAGAATATTTTTTGCAATTGCTTTTGAATGAAGAACAAAAGGAGTATATTTCTAGCTACAAGATGTAAAATTCGAAAGCGTACCAAGATAACTGTTTAAATATCCCGAAATAATTTCTGGAAGACATAAATTAAATCGCCTGGAAAGGTGAAGGAAGGGGACGCGATGTTTTCATGAGAACACTCGTATCTCGGCACAATGCGTCCTTGAGAACGAAGGCGAGCATGCCGAAAATAGAGTACTATAATATATGTAATCGGCGATTTCGATCAGCGAATGATTTTTTTATATATTCTTATATATACATATATATTTATATATATATAACGATACAGAATCAGACAGAATTGATATTTTATTTTCGCTCATGTTACATTTTAATCGTCCTGTTATACACGCAACACCGATGATAAGATAAGACAGCGCAGACTGCAATTGTCGTCAATTTAATTTGACACAACGTACATTCGTAAAACGAGCAACCGGCTGCGGAATGAAAAGTGCAGCGTGCATCAATGAACGAGATCGCCGGTTAGAAATTTAGAATTAAACGCGAGAGTTGCATTATAGTGCAACGTTTTACAATGTTTGATGGTCTTTTTCTTTTAGATAATTGATTTAGATTGTTACGATCTAGATAGAAGCTCTATCCTTCGTTTTAATCGCATTTAATTTCTTTGTTTTTCCTTTTTCCAAAGCCCAAATAATTCGTCGATTTTATTTTAACTGTAAAAAATGCAATGTATTTGCTCTTTTTAAACATTCCATCTTCTTGTAATTTTCTCTCTCTTTCTTTCTCTTATATACTTTCTCTTTTTCTTTAAAAATTCCAAATGTGTATTTTTTATTTTACATGCAAAAAGTGTAATATAACAATAATGTGAATAAAGAGTTAATAATATATATCTCTTTAAACTATAAATCCCCAATTATAATAAGAAGAAAAAAATGTATGATATAATTAAAAAGAGAATAAATTAGCGTTACATGCTTGTCGTTGAATATCACGATATAAAACTAATCGAAATTTTTGTTTCAGAAAAGTAAAATTATGTGATATATATTGTCCAGTGGTACTTGGCGCTAAACTTTGGAATACGATCGCGAAATGAAAATGAAAATTAATTTATTTAATACGAGAGATTGCGTGCTTCCTTTTTTATTAAACCTTTAATTCTAGCACAAGACTTCCGGTAATAGACGTTAACATCAACGTTGTCATCTTTGATGCAAATGATATGCTTGAGCAAGTAGAGAGAACGAGACATACACATATCCAAACATATAATTATTTCTCATATATATTTTGACATGTGTTTATTTTCATGTATTAAGGCATTTCTGTTCTCATGCGTGCATATATGTGCATATCATCGAAGATTAATTGTTAATTTAATCAGTAAAAAGTAGAAAAATGTGCTGTCATCGTGAGACGTGAGACGAGATGTGGCCGATAATTGAAAGTGCTACGATAAAGTGGCATAATAATAATAATAATAATAATAATAATAATAATAATAAAAAGACCACTCAGACTCACACTCTGTAGGAAGGGCCAGATACCATCGATGCTGTCCGTAGCTATGAACATTGGCTCGTGTCCTGACATTGTGATGCTTCTAACGATGCACGGATTTTACAAGTATCGCGGCGATGACGGCAAGAAGGCGCCAGTACAACGAGAGGACAAGAAGGCGAGCGCATCCGCGACAGAAATCCACACACCGGTCACTGGCACGAATGACACTCTAAACTCTGACCGTACTAAACAGACTGATTGATACAATGCGATTGCAGCGATTGTCGCAAACGGAATGTATGTATGTACGTATGCGCATATACAGAGTATAATGCCCGGTCTACAATGAGTCGTTAGTCGTTAGTCGCAAGCAAATTGACCAACTACAGTCGATTATTCCTAGAATAATCTTGGAATAATAGACTGTGGTTGGTCAATTTGCTTACGACTAACGACTCATTGTAGACCGGGCTTAATAGATGTGTGTGTTTGTTTGTAGAGAACTTCTTCAACGTTTTCCATTATCTATGACTGAAGAATTTCGGAGTTATATTGGTTATATTCGCAAATTCGGAAATTACTGCCGGCAACATTCACGTTTATCAATCAATGTATATATGTTGTATAACATCGATAACAATCGATAAATATTTTCTAGAATGGCAGGTAAAACAATGATTAATTTATCTAGAATGTCCAAAATATTTCAACCTATGACAACTGGATTATCCGATATTGGAGACAAAACAGAAATATCTCAAAGTCATAAGGTATGTCCTCTTTTTCCAATTTTAAATATCAGTTAAAAAGAAAAAAAAATCTCTTAAAGATTCATTTAGATCAATTTTTGAGTTTTTTTTATATAAAATATGTATATTGCAAATGTAATTTACTATTTATTCGATATAATGGCAATCTATTAAAAATTGTAAATAAAAACTGACGATTTCTTTGAACAAATTAATTCCAAATATTTCTTTTATTGTAGTGTATTTTATTAAAATCGATTAATTTTTTTGATTCGAAGCCTTTATTGCATTTTTTAATCGTTTTTGTTTTTTTTTTTTGAAAATTTAATTATAATTTCAGTTAATGATTAATTATGGAATTATTAAACCAGTTAGCATTGGCATGTATGCTCTGTTGCCATTGGGAATGCGGGTCTTGAATAAGCTTACAAATCTTGTGGATAAAGAAATGACAAATCTTGGTGCGGAAAAAATATTGCTTCCAGCATTAACTTCTACTTCACTATGGAAAAAAACTAACAGATATGACTCTAACAAAGCCGAATTATTTACAGTTAAAGATAGGCATGAGAAAGAATATATATTAAGTCCAGTAAGTAAGAAATATATTATCTACATCATATTTTTGTTTGATTAAAAGTTACTTAAAGGAAAATATGCCGTATTATTATTATCACAGTTATGTTCATATATAGTTTATAATTGAATAAAACATAAATTTTTTAATCTTAACATTTGCAATTATAGTTATTTTGAAGAAAAAATAAAGCTTTTACAAAAAACTGAGAAAACTGAATATATCAAACAAGTTATTGTTTGATTGGTGCAAAAGATATATCATTTTTCTATACACTCCAAAATAATTACACAGTGGTAACTAATTATTAACTAATTAATTATTAATAATAATTATTTTAATTATATATTTTAAAATTATGTGTAGTTTTTTTTAGATGTATTTGACTAATATGATAAGTCTTTTGCACTAATGTAATATATTTATTACCTAGCAGAGCTTTCTTTTATATTTAGATAATATATATAGATTACTAGATAAATATATAGATTAAATGATGTCATTTTATTCATATAAAATGTATACCTTCGAGTATTCCTATGTTATTATAGACATATGAAGAAGCTATCTGTGACTTAATATCATCAGCAGGACATTTTTCAACTAAATCATTACCCTTGAGGTTATATCAAATTTCTAGCAAATGGCGAGACGAAATGAAACCACGGCTTGGTTTTCTACGGAGCAGAGAATTTATTATGAAGGACTTGTATACATTTGATACTAATTTGGATAATGCACAATATACATATGATCTAGTTTGCGAGTCTTATAATAATATTTTTAATCAGATTGGTATAAAATACGAGAAAGGTATACAACATTTTTCTAATTTTATACTGGAATTTATAGGATTTACATAATCTATATAAAATTAAAAAGAACTGCGAAAAATTATTTAATCATAATTATTAAAAGTCATAGGTGATATGGGAACAATCGGGGGCTTAGTATCACACGAATATCATTATATATCTAATATCGGCGAAGATATCATACTTCAGTGCCCTTCATGTCATTTTTCTATTAATCAAATTATTTCTAAAACAATAAATTGTCCAAAGTGTGAAAACGAATTACAGCAACATACTACTGCCGAGGTAATGTAGAGATTGCTGAGAAAATTTATATATATGTACTTCTGATTTGCTTAATTGATGTAAATAGAAAACACAAATATAAGTAAGCAAATATTACAAAGAAACAAATATGCACATTGCATAAATGATAATTGCAGATAGGGCACACATTTTTATTAAATACGAAGTATTCACAACCATTAAAAGCAATGTATATGGAGCAAAATGAATTGAAACCTATGATAATGGGTTGTTTTGGTCTAGGATTAAGTCGTATTCTTATGTTAACTGTTGAATTGTTATCGACAATTAATGAGATAAGGTGGCCAGTGAAATTAGCACCATATACAGTATGCATTATACCACCAAAGGTAATAATGATAAATACAGTTTTTCCTTTCCATTAAAGATCATGCTTTATTATATATCAAATTGTTGTCCACAGGCTGGTAGTAAAGAAGAAAATGCATCTAATTATGTTGAGCGACTGTTTGAAATTCTTTGCAAACGCGATATCGATGCAATATTGGATGATCGTACACAATTCACGATTGGTAAACGGCTTATATTTGCACGTGCATTAGGCTATCCTTACGTAATTATTATTGGCAAAGCTTCAACTCGACCGATACCTTTATTCGAAGTTTATGACGTAAACAATTCGGTTTATAATGAGTTACCATTGGAACAGATAAGTCATTATTTTGACAATATAAATTTAAAAAATTAGGCATCTAAAGAAAGATATGTATAGTATACATTTAAAAAATAAAAATGAAATTTTAACGTGTGCGCACATTGTATATTATCTAAATCTCTTTTATATATATTGAATATATATTTAAGATAAATATATACAATAATTATGTGTTTATATATATAGCTTTGTAAATAATATTGGTTTTTTATCATGTATAATACATGTTCTAGTACGAACGTTCTATTATACTAAATTTTTAATAAGCTGATTTTTAGTAGGGTGTATGGATCATTGGAAAGGAGGAAATTTATCGATACATTTAAATATTGATATATGCATACTAATATACAGATTGTTAATTTCAATTTTGTAAACGATAATAATTAAAGTTAAATTCATATGAATTTTTTTTATGCACATGAATATTTCAAAAAATTTCTCGCTTCTGATGTCATGATATCAGAAAGATCAAGAACTTTAAATAATTTAGGACAGAAACTGGTTTGGGATATATGATATAAGGATGTATTATAATAACAGTAATATAGCCACAATGTTGAAAATATATATTGCAATATAGATATTCTTACATTATGAAATATTTGAAAGTTCTTCTAGTATAGTTTGCGTATCTAAAGTATTAAGATCTATCGAAGCCCGTGTATCTACTATCACTCCAGTTACCTGAAAATAATGTTTAGAATGTTACTCATATATTACCTTCCAGTGGATATAACTATGCGCATGTAAAAATTTTATTGGTCCAATTTTCAGAGATAATAATATTAATATGAATTAAAATATTAATTAAATATACGTGTGTGCGCGCGGCGCGCATGCGCAATGTAAACTTCTTGTAATGTAAAAGACAACATAAGGTTCATATAGCATAAAACACATAAACTACATTTTATACATGTAATAGTTTTTTATACATCTTATTTATATTATTTACCATTTCCTCAAAAAATGCAGTATGATTAGGCTTTTCCGAGTATCTCTCATACTGATCCAGATTATCTTGCAGTTTTAAAGCAAGACTGTCATAATTCTGTATTATGATAGCTAGAATTTGTTGTTCCGTCGGTGTCGACAAGCTCTCTTTCGCTAGCCATGCAGCTATCTTTGGAGGAAAATGATTTACTATATCTCTCACATTCACAAGAGAATTTGTTAATTTAAGCGCATGTTCTTTGTACTCGTACGATTCACTAGTCGAATATCTCAGTGCTAAAATATTTCCATATCTCATTATAAAATATCATATTTTTTTATTGGTAATCTACAAAGATTTTTATGCTCATCAGTCACTTACCCATAGCATTTAAATTGGTAAAAATAAGCCTCATACGAATAATTTCATAAAATAATTCATCATAACTATTGGGTGATGACAGGAATGTATCAGCGTATGTAATGAAAAAATTTAAAATATTTACCACCTGTTTTGAAGAGTAACAAAAATATTATCTTATTCAATCATATCTTGATATAAATTTTTCAATTCTCTATCTCATTACCTGAATAGCTAAAGGAAATATGTTCATTTTCTTAATGAGATGGCTCTCATGAGTTGTTAAAAATTTCAACAAATTGATTAATGCAGTCCAAAGATCTCGCCACTGATAACCAAGTCTGACACGACATCTTTTTTGGTAACATAGCAGTCTTTGTAGAACGCCGATACAATGATGATATAATTCAAGTGGAAATTTCTTCATCATATGCGATGTTATAAATTCAACGAGCAGATCTATAATTAAAAAATAATAATAAAATACGCAATATACATCTTTACAAGTATGTGTTATAATGGAAAACAAAAGTGGGAGCATTTTATTTAATTCATCTAAAATAAAGTCTAAGTAATTTATATTCACACAATATATTTTATTAGTTAGATGCAATTAGAACGTTTTATGTTATTAAGGCAACAGCCCTTTTTTTTGGTTCCTATTTTATGGTATTTCTAGAACACACGCGACTTTTGAAACATATACTAGAATATACCGAGTAACGTGGCTGCAAGTGGTTGAGCAGGTGCTGCTTTATCTTGTAATTTTCTATGATGCATGGGTACTCTATGTAACTGAACTCTGAACGCCAGGTTCGCATCATGCATCAAACTGTTCGCGTATTGATCCTCCGCGATACAGCTTAGTATCAAGAAACATAATTTCACATTATTCATTATAGCCTCTGTTCTAATAACTTGCATAACTATTGAACTGTAATACATTAAATGTATGTTTATATGAGTACATGAATATATATATATATATATGTATAAATACGTGTATATATTTAATGTGCTTATTATCTTTTAATTTCCTCACCAGTACTGCAGAAAAGTTGCTAATAAATTGAACGGTTGAGACGTTACATCAGGTGGTGAAGCGCCAGGAGCTACCGCATTCGGACCCAAAGTATTATTCGGCGACGGAGGTGCGCTGGTATCGCTTTGCGTATAGGCCAGAGTAGTCACAAAATTACGATTTAAGTGTGTAGCTTCGTACAAAGCTAAAAGTAAAGCATTATTCGCGCGAACTTGTTGCGTTTTCGCTTCCTCTTCTCCAACAAACATGCTACCAACTATACTAGTCAAAGAGGATAACCAAGAAGCTTGTATTTCTGGAAATATATTGATTATTGTATTGAAAAACATTTACATATTGTATTATATCAATATAGAAAATATCCTGTAGAGAAGTCATCTAGTCTTCTCTCTTCTAAGATATCATATATTAAATTTAAATTATACAGTTTCGCGAAAAATTGATGAAAAGGATTTCTAATTAAAAGAAAGATTACACTATTATATCTCTTGCAATACCTGCTCTTTGTTGAGCGAATTGTCGACAAAACTCCGTTAATGAACTTGATATAGCTTGCCCGTATCCATTGAGGGCTAACTCATCATCCAAAATTGACAATTTAACAATATACGGATTTGCACTTTCATATTTTCTGTAGTTGACTAGAAGTGTTAATAATAAAACCACATCATGACCATGGCGATTCCTAGTAGCTGTATCTCTCAATAACTGCATGATGACATTAAATAAATATCACATTAGAACTAATGAAAATATTCTATTTATACAAATTTTATATACATCTAGAAAAATAATGTGTGTGGCTTATAAATAATTCTAACATACTTGAATTAGTGATTCAAAAACACTGTTTAGCATCACATATTCCAATAAGGTATTTTGGCTGATATTGTCCATACCAGTAATTATTATTAACAATAATTTTAGGCACAAAGCTTTTAAGCTATCAGGATATTCACCTAAAAAATCAAATTTTTCTCTCATTGTTTTACTATCTAATCTTTTTTTTCTAATTAAAATGTGAAATATATAAATATTTAGAATTATTAAATCATTTATATATATCTTTCTCATACCTGTCAAAAAATTATTACAATGTTGCATTAATGTTGTCATCCTCTGCTCTGCAGAGTCAAAGCCTACTAGAATATCTATTAAATTAAATCCATAGTCTCCTTGGTTAGCTTTTTTGTACATGGATTGGATAACTGCTGCTAAAGTTTGCAGTGCATATACTATCCTAAATGGATGTTCATCAACTAAAGTATCGACACAATGGCATACTAATGCGTTCAAATTTTCTTTGCTAGCATTTAATTGTTCCGATGTCATATGCAAAATTTCATTCTCGATATGAGGTACCTACAATATTATATTCATCTTTATTTATGTATATTTTCCAAGAAATAATATTTATCAATAACAAAATTTACTATATTAAAAGAATTATTTATATCTCAAAAATATATAAATTTAAATTCATAATCTGTACTTCTATATAAAAATATGTCATTTATTTAGGAAGCCATATTAGTTGTAAGTTGTAAGTATTCATGCATAAACAATAGCAATTAAGCTTCGATAATTAAAGCCCACAAAATTCAAAAATGGTAACAAAGTACACAATATAAGTAAACAGATTACTTGTTACAATTATTAACATCACTGCTTAAAAAAATGTATATAAGATTTAAAAAAATACATACCATAGGTTTAATAAGAAACAGTTCATTCCAAAAATTTGGATGAGCTAGGGTTAAATCTTCACCTTTGAAGAAACTCTCGTAGATTGGTACTAACTTGCATTTATGTTGACGTTTGGCACCAGAGCCACTTCTTTTTCTCATAGCCATTGGAATAGCAAATTATTATTTACTGTTCATATTTAATAAAATCTAGAAACATATGTAATATTTAAGAAAAATTTTTTCATATAATATAGGTACACACAATAATCTCAACGCGTTCCTTAAATTTTTTTAAAAATTACTTTTTAAAAAATGTTAGAAAAAATATCACATCAATCTGCATTTCTCTAACTTTTTTTGTTATAGTTAACAAAAATTTTTTTTTATATAATTATTTATTAAAATCTAAAAAATCTCGGTGCATAATATAAACTCGAACTATTAATATATATCTTTTTAAAATTTATAATTCATACTAATGTAAAGTTATAGAATAGCGAGAGAGAGAGAGAGAGAGAGAGAGAAAGAGAGAGATTATTCGATATATAATAAATCTTACCAATTTCTTAAAATTTAATAATTTAATAATTATAATAATTAAAATATCGTATATCGAATAATGAGAATTTAACCAAGAAAATCGTTTATATCAAAAATTATTCAGTTAAAAAAATATTTCAAGGTTAGAACACGCTTGTATCTTGTATCAGCCAAAATGCAACCTGCTTGAATTAACCTCAAACTTTAGGGTGTCGAATCCTGTCTAGCAAAGACTCGAACCCTATTTAGCGAAGAATCGAACCCCACTTAGCCGAGACTCAAACTTTACTTAGCAAAGATTCAAACCGTTTAGCATAGATTAGAATATTCAGCAGAGAGTCTATGCATTGCATAGTCTATGGCAAGTCTAATCAGTAAAGTTTAAAATACATGTTCTGTCAGAAATTTGGTTTAAATAAATTCTATATTTGTGCATAATTATTTAAGCAATCTCATTACAGTAACTTAATTTTATTTCTCCCGTTATCCGGAAAAAAATCTATTTGATGACAAGAAGAGTAACGAGTATTCAAATCATAAAATCTAAATAATATTCATTTAGGATTTTTTTCTAAATATATTTAAATTTATAAGAATAAAATATACATATTTTTATTTTATTTTAGTTTTATTTAATGTAAAATATTCTATATTTTATACTTGTAAACATATACACATTTTTTAGAACAATCGATCGAGTGTCCTCCCTTTAAAAAAAAAAAGTTATAAATACAAAAACTATTACTATCAGTGAAAAGAAAGATTTGAGTTGAAAAAATTTACTTAATTTTAATTTTTTCATATCAATACCAATTCAGTGATATTTTTCTAATTATAATTAACCTAAAATGATTTATTTTTAGTCAATATAAAATATAGTATAATTATAACTGCCAAACACTTGATTAATTCAGAAGATACAAACTCAGAATAAATTATTTATTAAAAGTCGATAGAAAAATAACCAATTGGTTTATTGTTTTAATTTAATTTTAATTCTCTGATATGCATTGCAAAGCAATCCTCGAATGTTATAAATATTATCAAAGCTTTCTGGTTGAACATTATACGCTGAGTCAACTGCTTTTGCCCAGATTTCAATTTCATTAATATTCTTACCAACAGGTAATTCCACTCTCCATAATGACCAACTCCAGTATCGACCTTGCTTTGCCTGAAGATCTTCTATCAAATCTGCTGTATGCCAAGTCTTCCCTTTATATTAAACAATATAAAAATTTTAATAATAGAAAATCATTAAAATGAAGAAAATGATAAGGATAATTTGCTATAAGCTTTTATTTCTTTTTTTTTTCTTACCTTTATCATTTGTTACATCAACACGAATTATTTTCCGACCACCACCAGACCATGCATAACCTGATGAAATTTATTATATTTTATAAGCATTTATGTAAAAATAACTATAGGTTTAAATCTTGTCAATACAACAAACCTAAGTATGACTATAACATATACAAAATATATTTTGAGTATCATATATAATCTTTTTTATATTTCATGATTCAAATTTAATTTAATATTCATTACATCTTAATCATTATTTTTGTAACAGATCAGACAATTGTGATTACCTAACTTTCATTTTTTTTACCTTTTACTTCTATTTTTCCTTTTTTTACTTCAACTACATCTGAATTTTGTGGATCGCATATTGCCGATATTACGGGCATTTCTTGTATCGCAGGCGATTTACTGAAGTCTACATTGTCCCAATTTGTACTCGGAGAGAATCCTTTATAATCGCCCTGTTGCCACTGCGATTCACTTTCTTGCTTTGAAACGCAAATTTTATCTATCAAATATTTTGAGACATAAGCACATGAATTCAATAGTTATACATAATCAATATTAGAGTCTTAAAATTATCCATACTAAGCCATTTCACGTTTCTCGCCCCCACAAAACCAGGAACGATTATTCTAATCGGGAATCCGTGATCTCTGCTTAATGGTTTACCATTCATTTCATAAGCTAAAATCACGTCTCCTCTTGGATCCATAGCTTTGTCGATAGGAATACTTGTACCATATGGCATACCGGATGGATCTAAATCATATCCTTCAAACTGATGAGAAAATATTAATGTTTTCGGAAAGCATCTTTTTAATGTAAATTATATATTATTTATAAGTATATATATCCATATATATATAATATATGCTAACAAAATTAATTTAGACTTTATCAAATAGGTGCAAATATTTTAACAAGAGGAATCAGAAGAATAGCATCAATATGCAGAGTTTAATAACAACATTTCTATAAAAATTGGGCTACTTTCGATTACATAAAGAAGATACCTGAACATGATCAAATTCATCTTCATTGATTCCCAAATCTTTTAATACATCATATAATCGTGCGCCAGTCCATGTGGCATTTCCAACTGCACCTACATTCCAATTAATCCCTTTCAATTTCTTTACCTATAAATAAAGTGCTACATAAATATTGTTACTACTCAGAACAGTGATTTTTGATTTTTGTATAGCATATACCTTTGACATTTCTGAACGCCTATTTCCACCGCACATGATAGCTGCTGTTATTGTGTGCTTGTCATACTTCTTTATTGCCTCAAAATCAAGTGTCTTTTTGATTTTTTCCTCTATTGCTAATTCTAGTTTGTAATCTTTTAAATCTATTTGGGGTACTGGTAGGTGATTTCTAATATAAAAGAGATCACTATGCGAAGAAAAAAGAAGCAACATCAATGTAATATAGTTAAAAGTATGTGCAAAGCATGTATAGTAGAGAGAAAAACAACTTGAATAATATATATAAAACTTACACTGGTGTAAGAAAACTCTCAACTAACATTGAAGACGGTGGTTCTGCACAGAAAGGTTTATGACCATTGATTATTAAGGCTTTATGCCTAGTTGGTTCATTTGCATATGGATCATACAAATCGTTCTTATTAGATGTAGCATCCTCTTTTGATATATTTCCTATTCTCATAGATTCTAACAATGAGTATATTTCAGGTGTATTGTGATTGGCAAAAATTGACCAAAAAGGATCAATTGAACCTCCTGCTGCCATCAAAATTTTTGAGGGACCACCTGGATGTTTGTCTACAAATTCTGTTATATCATATACTCCTTGTCCAAAGGTAACCCAAATACGATTCTCTTTATTATCATGTTTTCCTACTTCTTCCAAAGTGTAGACCTTCATATCCTTTCGTAATTGACCACATTGTATATTTTGTGTTGCATTAAAAGTATAAACATTTTTTTTATATTTAAAAGCATAGTAGGATATACCTAAAACTGATACAGCAACAACAACATATGTTGCATATGAAGTAACAGAATTTTGCGTGTTTTTAGAAAATTTATATTTCTTTTCTGCAGAATATTGTTGGCACATATTAGCATAATTTCTTACAACCATTTGTAATAATGGTATCTGCGATCTGAAATGAGTTAACCAAAAGATAATTTAAAGATTTTAAAAATCTATCTACACATAATCTACATATATAATTTAATGTATTAAAAATAATACTATTCAGTTAATTAATAGATACAATAGTTTTTAGATAATAAAAACAATATATGTATGAATACCTCTGTCTTATTCCATAAAATATTTTCGAGTGTAAATTCATAATATTAATTTGTAAATGGACTGTTTATTTAATATTTCAAACTCGTCACAGTGTCAACAACGCAATTCGATATTAGATAATATATATATAGTATAATGCACTGATGCTTTGTAAGCATATATAAGACGTATAAATCTATAAATATGGAATATGAACTGCATATCTGATAATACAAGAGAGAGAGAGTAAAAGAAAAAAAAAGCGTTTTCTAATCTTGCTAAATGAACAGCGAATATATAGCGACGTATTTTGATTACAAGTTTTTTTATTTTATTTATTTTTTTTTTTTAAGAATGCTCTTAACTCGGAAATATAGTTGAGTGCATATATATATTTATATATTAAAGAGAATCCCTTTAATTTGAAGAAGTTTTTTAGCATGTAAATGTACGTCTCTGCCAATAAAAGGCTTGAATTCATAGTAAAATATAGTGATTAATTGATCCGTTGAATTAACCCGTTTATTCAAAAATGCTATTAGTTGGCGATATGGACAAGGAAAGGTTTAAAAATATAGCGTTTTCGAATGAAGGGGTTAACCCAATCCGGTTCAATTAATCATTATATTTTACTATGAATTCAAGCCTTTTATTGGCAGACACGATGCATTGACGTCATTAATCGCTCTGAGAGCGATTAACCCTGCTACATTCGAAAACGCTAATAGAGTGGGATTAGAGTGCAGTATTCACAGCTTCTATATAATATAAAATATATATATTCTATATATTATAGAAATCGTGGCAATATTTTTCGGTTTCTTTCGAGTAAGTTCGGTTTGACTATATACGTGATTGGTACATATCAAAATTGTTAGTACCCCTTAAGCCCGTATCAGACTACGCATTGAAGATTGAGATTCAAGATTCAAGATTGAAATTTGACCAATCAAGATAAAGAAATTTTAATCCCTTTTATTCTGATTAGTCAGATTCCAAACTTTAATCTTCAATCTTCAATTTTCAATGCATAGTCTGATACGGGCTTTACTGCAAATTATCCAATCATTATAGAATAGGCCCATCCATAGACATAGTATATCTAGACCGAGCGTTTGCCTTTATTTAAGGAGTGGGGGCCGATGCCCACGTAGAAAAGGACATACTCTGTTTCGTGCCCCTTGCGTTCTCTCTCGCTCGCACGTAGCATGACGAAAGAGAGCGCTATGCTCTGTGCGAGCGAGAGAGAACGCAAGGGACACGAAACAGAGTATGTCCTTTTCTACGTGGGCATCGGCCCCCACTCCTCAACACTCGGTCTAGATATACTATGTCTATGGGCCCATCTATGTAGTTTATATATCTATGCATACATTTATATGCTCTCTCATCTCCCTAACTATAGTATATTTATACTATGGTTATATACTACTGATTGTAGTTTTCAATCATTGACAGCTGCGCGCAGATATAATTTATAATCAATCCTTTATTTATAGGTCACTTTTTCAATTTTATAGGAAACTTTGAATGCCGCAACCTGTTTTTTATGATATCAGAAATGAATAAATGTCTTCGATACTATTGATTTACACTTGCAAATTGTGTAAAATAATGAGTTAAAATCAGTTTTATATACTGATTAGATATTTCAATTGGGATGAGCGAAAAATCAGAGTTTCTTGATGACGAAACGAATTTTACCGAAAAATGTGACGGTGCTAATTTTATTTCAAAGCAAGATGTTCGATTAACCGAAGGTATAAATTCAGTCTAGAAACATATTTATTCCAGTATATTTACTAGAATGTGTGTGTGAGTGTGTGTGTGTATGTTTTGTACATATATAAGTTGTACAGAGAGTTATAGATTAAAACCCACTCACTCACACATTTACTTCAGTTGTAATATTTATTAACATATAGTAAAAAAATATTTATACATAATAAAATGACATAATGTAAAATAGATATATATAAAATTAATGTTGCTTTTCTACTCTTTTTGATGTTACTTTTAACTCAAAAGAAAATTAACTTTGTTCATGTCAAATAGTTTTTTTAGAGATGCTGCAGTAATACATTTAATATTGTGGAATTTATTAATATCAAAATTTGTACTTGAGTTTAAGAGACATATTGATCACAATAATTATTTTTGTATGCAACCAGGAACAATGATGCAGAATGGTGTCTTGCAAATTCAAAATAATCATTGTAGAAATAATATATTCAGAAGCAAAAGCGACTCAGCATTATCAAGAAAAAATGATGGAAAACTAAAACAGGATTATCTGATGACAGACAACATTGATTTATTGACTAGGTTTAATATCAACAAATCTATTACCAACATTCCTAATATAAAACTTCAAACATATCACTTATCTAACAGTGAGAACCGCCTTTTATACAACAATGGTTCTCTTCATGACTCATTTTCCAATAATATGAGTGTTTCTTTATCCTTAATACCAGTATCATCTTTAGATCTATTTCTAGTCAAAAATAAAGTTCACAAATCTGAAAATGATGTATGTGCATATAGAAATATAGCAGGAGCATGTATGGACGAAGAAGAGATACTATTTAATCGATCGAGCAAAGCAAAAAATCTTTCATCTACTTTGCAATGTTCTATGAATGAAGAAGTTATTAATATGTTTGAAAATAATTTAATAAAAGACAAACATGATAAAAATTATTTTAAAGAACAGACTGCTGCTGCAGAAACTAATGTATTTCAAACAGAACAATCTTGCAAAGAAATAATAGACTTACAATCACAGATAAATAATAATGAAACTTTAAATGAGAAAAATCAAGATGAGAAAGAAGATCTATGTAAGGAAAATGGGTCAATTTCAACTTTGACACTAAATGCCCATGTGCAAAATAGTTTGACACCTCGACCAACATTAGCTGATGACAGTAAACTTGTTAAAATGTCTCTCTTGACAAATCCGATAACTATAATGCAATCAAATGTTCAACTTTTAAATAAGAGTCGTAATTTTTTCAACTTTATCACAGAGAAATCGACAAACATTATGGAAAAAGCTCTACTACCGCAACATTTGGCAATGAAATACAATCACATATCAAAATCCATTGAAACCAATGCTATGATGGGATTTTATACTAATAGCGAATCTTCTTTGAAAGACATAATTGGAAAGACTAGATTGGACACAGATTTAACAACGAATCCGAGTAATAGTCGTATAACAAATTGTATGGTAATACCAAATCACGACAAGAACAAAGATAAGTTGAATAGTATAACAAATAGTGAAATTGATGTAAATCTATCCACATGTATAAAAGAGAATAAAACATGCGATAATTTGGAAAATGCAGAACGACAATTACATAGTTCTAAGAATAAAGTATCAAACGAGAAAGAATATATTTTCCAAAAAAATGATGTAGACAGATTAGATTACAATATTATCAGTGAACAAGCACAAGATGTATCATTGCCAGAAATAAATGAAAATGAAAGTAATTTTCTGCACAGAGAAAGATTGCTTAATGATATGCATGAAAAAGATTCATCTAAACTTAGTAATTTGATAGAGTCAAATATTTTAAGATTAGACTCATTAGAACATCCATTATATCTTACATTATTGGAAGATTATACCAGTTTAAAACTCAAGAATGCAAAATTGCTAGAAAGAATTGAGCATTTAGAGAAGTCGAATCAATTGAACAAATCATTCTGTGAAACCCAGACAAATACAGATACGTTTATCTTACAAATAGAGAACTTGGAAAAAACTATAAATAAATTAAGAGCCGATTTGAATACATCACTGGATATGCAAGAAGCTCTGAGGAAGGAGTGTATGGCAATTAATAAGGAGAAGGAAAACATGGTTATGAGATATGCAACTAGTGAGAAACAGTTGATAGATTCACAAAGGTATGTATAAGAAAAACCATTTTATTATTTGATATCTGTATTATTTTTTAGACATGATTGAGAAAAGTGAAATCTCCTATGAAATCTCAGTTAGGAGCAGTTTATATATTTTAAATAAGTTAAAAATAGGGAATGTTTTCTAAGCATTTCTTATATTGTTGAATATTGTTACTTTATCGGTCGTACGTACAAAGATTTTAAGAGAGGAAATCGAACTTGTCATAAGTGCTTAGTGACTAGTTGATTAATTTCCATAATAGATCGACATCTATACATTAAATATATACAATTGTTTGGTAAAGTTTAATTTGTAATGTATATAACAGAGCGATAGATTGCGCGGAACGCAAAGTTAAAGAACTTCTAAAGGATCAAGAATTATTCCAAAACAAGTTACGCCAAACACAGGGTGAACGTACAAGAATATGTAACATTATGGATGGAAAATGCCGTGAGATTGCTGATCTTCAAAAGGAAATAGAGAGATTAAAAGAAGATAATAAAATGAATGAAATCAAACTAAAGTGGACGCAAAACAAACTTAAAACTGAAATGGACTCACAGAAGGATACTCAACAGAAATTAGATAAAGCTTTGGTAATCATACAGTGCAATTTTTTTTTTACATCTTAAGTTGTAAGAAAAAGCAGCTTAAAAATTATGTTTTGAATAAACGAGCGAGCGTATAATAATAAGTCAAGTCTCATTTTAGTCATAAATACTAAATACTAAACTATTATCTGTATTATTACCGCTGTATTAAATTAATAATAATTGAGCTTTGATAAGCAAAAAGAAACCTACATATAAAAAAATACTTTTAATTTGAAAAATTTATCAAATCAATTGACTTTATACTTTGTATAATGATAAATTTCTCTAAGAGAGATTTCGCAAACAAAATTTTGCAATTTTTTAATTATTTTCTAAAATTGATTGCAAATATGTTTAATCTCAATAATATAATATGTAATATAATATATAATATATTCTCAATATTCATTATATATTCTAATATATTATTTATATATTGCAGATGAAAATAAGTGATATGAAAGAAGAATGCGAACAGATACGCCGTGAAACGCAAGAATCATTTCGGAAATTTCAGCAATCTGAGGAGAATAAAGCTGTGACATTGGATCAGCAATTAAAAGAGCATCAGGCGCGTTTGATTTTAGAAAGACATGTTACGGAAGATAAAGAAACACTAAGACTTCAATTACAGAAGGAATTAGAAACATTAAAATCTAGACAACAAAATTTAATCGAAGAAAATAATAGACTCAGCCTAAAAGTTCAAGAGTCTGAGAAAACTCGATCGAACACTGAAAATAATTTAAGTGATTTGAAGATTGTTGCAAATCAACGTCAGGAACAAATCACTGAATTATTAAACAAAGTTTCTCAGTTAGAAGCATTAAAACTTCAATTGCAACAGTAAGTATATTACAAGAATATAATATTACATAATGTGTGTGTATATGTGTCATTACTTTAAGTATAATACAAAAAAAATATAAACCTAAAATATATCACTCTGCATGCCATATATGTAAAAAATATGGTAAAAATTATGATGTTTAGAATGTTTAGGCCTTAATTTTATCCAAACATCTCCCATTTACAAAAAATGTTTTCTTTTGACGAATTTACTTGAGTTTTGTATTATTATAACTCTGAAATTTGCGACATTAAATGAAATTCTAATGTTATTGGATGATACTTTAATTACAAGCTATTTATTTGTACACAGTAAAGAAGAGTGCATAGTATCGGCTGAAGCTCAAATATTGCAATTACGATCGGTTAACGAGGAATTGCGATTTGACATGCAAGCATGTCGTCAAAAGGAAGCGGATATGTTAGATTTTACGCAAAAATTGACAGACAAAAATGTACGTCTTCAATCCGAGTTTATTGCGATTCAAACAAAGGCGAATGATCTCGAATCCGAACACGGTCCGTTACATGACTGTATTAATGAATTGACTAATAAAATCAAAGTTTTGGAAGAAGATTTGATGCAAGAACGAAAGAAACGAAGAGAGGAGTGTGAGATATTGGCTAAGCATGTTGCTGAACAAACTCAGCGAGGGCAAGACATTGCTCAGAAATTGGAAGACAGTCAAGGTGAAAATGCAGTATTGAAAAGAAGACATCAAATTTCCATAAAGGAGATGACACGAGAATTACAACAATGTCGTAGAAAATTGGAAATGTTTGAAACTGCATCTCCCAGTAATTCATTGGACATTACATCTCGAACCGGATCTAATACTTCTTTAACAGGTTTAATAGATTCACAATATTTTTTATTGATTAACGAGTAAATTTAATTTTATCCTGTATTGGATTTTGACATAAGAAATTCTGTCTCTTTTTAGGCGATACATTAAATGGTGCCTTATCGGATAACAATGCTAATAGTGATCACATTTACTCTATAGAACCTAGTAAACAAGTACTAATGGATCGCATTATAAAATTACAAAAGAAAAATGTAAAAAGAGCAGAAAAATTAGATTTTTTCGAAGAGCATACACAAATATTGACGGAAGAGCTACGGAAAAAAACAAAAATAATAGAATACTATATCATACATCAAGATTTTGGAGCTTTGGCATGTAATGAAAGAGATAAATATAAGGTAAAAGCCAACACACTTTTTTTTAATTAATTTTATTTTATCTTGTAATAAATGTATTTTATAAATATTGATATATATATATATGGCAAAAATAGTTTTAAAATATATATATTCTTTGTTCAAATTGTCTATTAATGCATCTCTATAAATATATAGAGTTTAAAAAGTTTAATTTTCATTTTTCTTAAATGAGATTATTCTACAAAAATATCATCAAAAAATAGATATAACTAATTTTTTCAATACAACGAAAATCTTTCTTGAATAGAGATTCAACAACTCTGTTTATTGTTGCTTATATGTTGATAATAATAGAGTCTTTGTTTCTTACATCCAAGCATTTCAAAAGCAGAAGAGATACAGTAAGTGTGAGAAAATGGATTCTTCAATAGATTAAAAAGTTTAAATTATTTTCTAATTATATATAGGTGGAATTGGCACAGCATGGAGGTATCATGGCATCCCTTTACAATCATAGAGTTTCAGATGAGAATATGACCCTAGAACTTTCTTTAGAAATAAACCAGAAATTACAAGCGGTTCTTGAAGATGTATTATTAAAAAACATTACTCTAAAAGTAAGTATGTCAAATAAAAGTTATATAAATAAGAAATAAATGAAAAATATAATATTATATATAGTAATGCTAAACTGATCACTTTTTGAAATATTCCATTTCGCTTTCAAACAAATGTGAATATGAGAATACAAAGTAAGTTTAAAAATTCGTTTCAATTTGATTATAATTGTGAAAGAAACTGTGTTTTTTTTATATATTTTACACATATCAACAAATTCAAAGTTGTTCAAATCTTTTAGATACTTTGAAAGTCGTACAATTTTTCTTGTATTATAATCTATTTCAAATTGATTAAAAGAATCTAAATTATATTTTTCTGCTCCAAAAAGTGATCATTTTGTCATGGAATAGAGAAAGAGAGAGGAAGAGGGAGAGAGAGAGAAAGAGAGAAGAGCATAGTAATATTTATTATTTTAGAGGAAATATATATAACATTGTTAATTTTTATTAATGTTTGTTATCTTTGTATTATTATACTTTACAGGACAATATCGATACATTAGGTAAGGAGATAGCAAAATTAACAATGGAACATCAACAAAAATAATAATATTGACAATTAATAATTAATAATTGTTATATGTATATAGATAATTACATACATAAGTATCATGTTATATATTGATATGAGGAGAGGGAAGAGAGAAAGAGAGAGTTAATATTTATTGTTGTTTTAAATTAATCACATTTTCTTTTAGCTATTATCATATAATTCAATAATATATGTAAATATTTACTTAAAAATGTATATTTCTCACTTAGAAAGATTTAATGTGTATGTATTTGGAATATATTATATTATATATTATATTTACAAAATAGGAATAAAAAAAGCACCATTAGAACAAGTCAATTTATATTATCATATATTTTATGCAGGATGTTATATAATTTATTTAGCTGAAAAAAATGATTTTTCTCACGATTTTTTAGCTGAGGAAAATAATTTTTCTCATATAAAAATATGGAGATACATTTTATCATGCAAAGCTTTAGTGTTTTCAAAGTAAATAGTTTCTAAAATTAAAGAAACTAATATTTCTCCTTTTATTTAAATTTGGGGAATTTATATATATACATACACACATATACATACATACATATATATATGTGTGTGTATATGTATATAAATCCAAATTATTAGAATATAATTGTGAATAATAAAATATCCAATTTATTTAAAAAAATAAAAATAATTAACTAATCACAAGCTTAATATAAATCGCCATATCAGATGCTACAATAGTGCAATATAGTATAATATAGTATATTATAGTATAATATATTATAATGTAATATATTCTTAAATTCAACCTTCAGATATTTTGCTCTTGCTATCAATTATACTTATAATGCTAAAAGAATCGATTAGTGAAAGGAGTAATAAATTATTATTGAGGAAGAAAGGTGTCTATCTCTATTAAGATATTACAAATAACACTATATTTGATATCTGGTAAATAAAGATTTATTTTGCAAGTTAAACTAGATTGTTTTAATTTTTGAGTACTTATATCTAGAGGCACTAATCAAGCTTAAAATCTAGCCGACTACAAATTCGCTCGACAGTTAATACACTTGATTTAAATGCTCAGGGGATCTCGATCATAATACATATTTGAGCGTAAACGGATGAAAGATCGTAATCGAAGTAAAATTGACTAATACTATGATTAATATCGCTAAATTTACTTTGAGTTTTCTTTTATACAATTTGAATTTTTTTTAATGAGCTATATATTATTACTATGATGTGTTTTATACTGTATCGTATTGCCTTACATCGCGTTATTATACCGTACAATGCGATAATAAAATGCAATAATGTACATTATCTGTACGTAAAATACTCGCAAACTAGTATATTATATGATGGAAGAAGAGATCAAGGAAACCAATAGATATAGTGGAAAACTATATAGTTTTCCTCTATATTATTATTATTGTTATTAAATGAGAGATTACCGCTAATAAAACTGGACTTCTTTGTATTGCATATTTTTAACGATAAAATATCATCTATATATTTTTTGGTAGAGCAATATTTCGATATCTACAATCTATACTAGCTAAAATTTTGCTTTTCAAATAATCGCGATAAAGACATTAAAGAGAGAATATCCTATAAATATTTTAATACTGATAACATTAATACCATAATAAATATAATAAGAACACTGAGTTTAATACACTTGCTTATGTGTTTGAAGTCGAGTATCATACATATGATAAAAGAATTGCTATAGAAATAAATTATTGCCTGTTTGAAATTTTATATATGATTTTTATAATATAGAATATTGCAGCTACACCCTATGATTATATTTATATGTGATGAAATGTGTTCCTAAACTTTAAATCATGTTTAATTTTACAAAGTGCTTTTTTCTGTGCAAACAATAACTTATGAATGGAAACTGAAATAAATTTAGAGGGAAAACATTTCTTTTTTTACTTCATAGGGTCTTATAATTATGACATTTTTCATATATCTTCTTATTCCTTCGTCTTTTTAAACACAAGCGCTATTAGATACATAAATATATTAAACGATTTCTCTACTTTTTTTATTTTATGTGCATCCTTTCTGAAAAAGCAAGATTATTATTATCACTAGTTTCAAATAGGCATATAATCTTCAACAAACTCCAATCCATTTTCTGTATGGAAAGCCTTTGTAATTATTTTTGTACATTCTATTCAAGAGATTGACAAAATTTATTATTTTATTAAAGAGTTTTATGATCGTTTAACGGTATATTCGATTAATAATACGAAAATGTGATAAATAAAAGAGAGAGTGAGCTGTTACAATAAAATCGAATTATAGTTAATGTCTTTTTGCGCTTGTCATTGAATAAAGCATAAAGAATAGATAATGAAAGAATACTTGTTCCAGTATCCTGCAAATACATTTTCAATTAAATAATAAGCTAAGATAAATATAATATTTTACTGAATACAATCACATAAATTGACATTTTGAATAAATAAATAGAATATGAGGCTATTATAAATCTTACGTAAAATTCCAGCGTTCGATTTACAGTGAGCAACAAGTATTACACAATTATATGTATCATACATGTATGGTAAGAAAAGGCATCGTACTATTTATGGAGAAAGAATATTTCAATATCATCTTTCAGTACTGTCGTTTCTTTGGTTTTCCATATATGTATATATTGTACAGATAATACTCAAGTATATGGAGATTGTATGAAAAATGATTTGTATGTGTAGTATCGCTAAACGCAATATTAAAACTCCTTCTATAAATGGTACGATAACTCTTTCGATTACCAACCTGCTATATTCGGACGATGTAGTGCAGATATACATACATTCTTTTTCGCTGCCGCCATGTATCGAAATCTGTCGTCCTTTTTTTTATTAAATATATTTATCACAAAACAGACAGAAAAATAAAGCAAAATTCGTTGATGCGGTTAGCATAAATACAATATTAATATCACATATTAACTCCAACATACACGAGCCAGATTATTCATTATAAGTTACGCAATCTGTTTGTCGAATGCGCACAACAAGAGAAAAACAATTTGAATACATCCTATCTATGTTTATATAGAAAGAAAATAAGCTACTTTGTACTCGGATGTGTGATATCGTACATCATTTAATATAATTTAAACATAGAGACACTTTGAATATATAAATTCATATAATAATTAAATTACTGTATCAATTAAGGAAATATAAAATGTATAGCACAAAAAAGAGTTTGCATGTGATATTTATCGTAAAATTAATTGTATATGTAACGTATTTATAATTAAGGTCTCTTTTTCTATAGGACTTTATTATACAGGAACAGGGGACATACCTATCCGAGAAAAAAATACTTAATGTTTTCTAATAATGATCTATGTACAATAATATTCTAAAGGGAAAAAAATATTTGGTGTTCTTGCTCTATATTAAATTAAATCAAACAAGTTCTTTATGCAAAACTGGACCAGCACCGGGCAGTGTGTCATTACGGCAGAATTGCATTAATCATAATACTGGCACAGTGAGGCAATGACCTTAGGATTCTCTAAATATACTATTAATACTTAATAATCTGAAAAACTATGTAATCATACACGTCGCATAAGTAATTATTATCATGTTTTTTTATATACCACCCACTTCCACATATTTGCTTAATTCTTGTATATTTTCTTGTATATTCTCTATGCATTGAAAGTAATAACCAACTACTACATTTAAACCGGCTGCGGACAGTTGCAGACAGTTAGTATATTTCTAATTTATATCTCATGTTCTTAATTCGCTGTCAAGATTTTTTGTATGCGATATCTTTAAAACGCAATATTTTTTTTGTTACAAGAAACACATATATTGAAAGCTAACAATTAGATGTATTTCTGAATGTAATATTAATTCTAAGCAAGAGTAAAATGGATAAACGAAAAAACGCTTACATTGCTATTATAACGGAAAATTGAAATTATTATTGAAACTAGTGATGAGAAATTCTGTCCCGTCTCTCTCGCCTAAACTTTGCGACGAAGTTGGTATCTTTTACGATTACGATCCATTTTTCAGATCTGAATCCAATCACAGCCGTTGAGGATGCAAGGTGTGTCGCAACTTAACTCGTTGCTATAATATCTAATGCCCTACAAGAAGACCCCAGATAGCATTCTCTAATTTACAGACAAAGTTTTAAACTTCAGATAATTTTAAACAGAAATACGCAAGATTTTAATTGAGAAAGATTAGCTTTCATACACACTTATGCAAAGATATGTTTATTGTGTATGATACACAATGTTCGTGTCATGCGTATAAGTGCATACTATTATAAATGCATTACATCAATTGACAAATTATATATAATCCTATTGAAAGGAAATATTAGATATTATTTATTATTTGCAACTACTCATAAAATTTGCGTATCTCTGGCCTAGAATGTTATCTGAGGATATTGTAGGTACAATGCATTTATATATAAGACACTAATATGTTGCTTTTAAACTATATTTTAATTCAAGACTATATTCGCGAAATCGTTCTTTCAGAATTAGTCGCCTATATTATGGAAATGAACAAAAATGTCTATTTGATGATTAAAATTAATAGACTAAACTGTAAAAATATGTCTACAGAAAATGACAAAATTATTCTGAGAGTAAGAAAAGAATCATATCTGAATATAAATTTTTTTTTTACTAAATATTTTAATTATTTGTTGCAAAGAGTGCATCAAACCTTTGAAAAGTTTATTGATGAGAAGCACTAACACGTCGACATGCACGCGTGGACACACATACATACACATTACAAACTATATTAATACTCTAAGAAATTTTCACGGATATGTGTAATGAATGAATCAATTTTTTGTCAACTATCGCTATTGATACGTCAAAATAATATAAGCTTCTGGAGCATTTTTCTATCGACTACACTTTAGAGAACAAAACTGTTAATAATTATAAATATTTTTCGTAATATACTCTGAACACGATAAATATATTGAGATCATAAGGCGCAAGATTAATACATGCGCGAAATCCTACGATTTATGCTTTACTGATACCAAATTCTGCCATATTATGACACGCCGAACGAGCTATCTATTTTGCACTAGGAACTACATATTCCGTGACTTGATTTTTTGCATCGTTTCTCCTGATGTTATTACTATTACGATTTAGTCAGATGTCGACTTCAAACATATCTTGCTCAATCGGTTTTTTCACCCAACTTCCCAGCTGCGCTCTCACAAAAGCATCCTTCAACTGACGTTTGGCAAGCTATTTGAGGGAAAAAAAAAAAAAAAAAAAAAAAAAAGAGAGAGAGAAAGAAAAAGAAAAAAACAGACGAAATATCATGTGTACCATGCGTTGACATACATCTTACACATGTATTGTTATTATATTATACATATAAAAAATGTAATACTTACCGAATAGTCTTGTACTGAAGATTTTGCATCAAGATAATGGCGACAACGATTCTCATCAACATCATCTATGGTTGGAAGCTTACTTAAGAGATTAAAGAATCTTCTAAAGAATGCTTGCTTAGATATTCTAGATGGTTTTCCCAATTCATCTTTACCAGTTGTGCAATTTATGACTTCGGCTTCGCTCTGTCCTAAAATGTGTATTTAAAAAAAAAAGTTTGTTAAATAATCTTATACACTTTGAAAAAAAAAAACCTATATATATACATATTTGATACGAACCGATAGTCCAATTGACGCTGTAATTAGGTGCTTTTCCAGGTTGTCTGACTTCAGAAGATGTGATTAGACTCATTAACGGTTTATTGAGTCTATACGGCGGTGGTAAACCTTGAATAGTGTTTTCGATACGACCGCAGACTGCTCTATACATATGACTCGGGTTCAAAAGACTGCCGAGAACAATGCTGTGGAAGTAAATTGGCTCGATGAAGTGGCTTAGAAGTGCACCCTGCACACCAAGTACGTTCCACCGAGCTATTTTGTCCGAACACGACATCGTCAGCAGTCTTTGACCCTAAAAAATTTAACAAAAGTATGGTTGATAAGTAGCCGAGATATCTTTTATAAAAATGTATTCTTGATATTTAACTTTCACACAAATAATACCTACCATTAGTACGCCATCCCAAGTTTGAATACCCTCGTTACTCTTTACAGGAATAGTTCCTTCGCCAGATTCTATTTTGGTACGTAATTGACCCCTAGCTCGTCTATTAGGATGTTTATCTATGGATTCATTTTCTTCATGAGGCGAGAAAATTCTCGCGTCACCGCAAGGTGCGGTATTTATATATAAGTGAAATTGGATGCCTTGTTTTAATTTAAATCCTTTTTTAACTGGCTCGAGAATAGATTCTGCACTTTTATCCTCGGTATGCAACTCTAATTGTTTGTACAGATATTCACAGAGACATCGCCGTGCTACAACTTCCGCGTGACAATCATTCACAGCACCACCACTAACGCTCAAATGCTCGCCCGAAACGCATTTCGTACCTTTTGTAAAAAAAAATATTTCAGTAGATATGGGAAAAAAGATATTAATCATGTTTTGTTTAAGTATCATAGATATAAAACAAGTTTATGCTTTACCAGTAGTGACACATATCAGTTCCGCATCTGGTCCTTTGGTTTGCACAATACCGGCTAAAACTTTACGCCGTGCATGTTGCGGTTTGCTCTGAATAAGTTCGCTAAATTTCTGATTTACCATTTTGCCAATTTTATCGGCCAACATTTGCGGTAAAGTCATTTGTTCTTGCCAATGCGCAGAATTTGAAAAATTCGGCAAAATGCGAACAGGTAGCGGTATACAAAACGAAGAACTGTGGACATTTCGCAATTTCGCTAAAGCGGCTTTACTCGCCGCCGCTTTCGCCAATTTTTTACTCGGGCCTGTTCCCTCAAACGTTTCTCCGTCAATAGTTACCGATATCGTAAACTTTGCATAACTTTCTCCATTATCGGATATACAGTTGTATATAACTCCCGGATATAATTCGTTGATCAACGCCACTGGACCTTTATCTAAAAACTTATTCGTATTCTTTGGCTCTTGTGTTAATGTTTTAAATGCATTGACAAGATGATTATCACGTTCTGTTACGTCGCTCGTAAAATCCGGCTCGAGAGGCACAACAGGCTGGCAAGTATTAATAGCTTGATGAACCTCGGGCGTATTTCTAAACTGAATAATATTTCGCAAAGCGAGTTCAGCAGCTGCATGTTTTGCCATCTTTTTGGTACGTCCTTTCCCTTCGTACGTCTGTCCATCGATCTGTACCGCAATTGTAAATATTGGAGCATGTGTAGGTCCAGTCTGCCCCACTACTTTGTACGTAGCTCCAGTTTTTAGCTCGTTTAATGCACATACTGCATTTTTCGGTTGTGGATTTTTATGACGTTTCTTCGCACTGGTAACATCTAATCAAAAAATAAAAGAAAATTTATGATTACAATGTTGTACAAATAAATATTAAATGTTATTGAATATATAAACCAAATTGGGATTTTTTAAAAATAAGTTATACAATATACATTATGGAATATATGTATATATCAAATCCTCTAATTATATATATGTATATGTGTATTGTACTGACCTTCTATATCTACTTCCGATGTTCTTTTGAGAATAGATTTTGGTGAATTTCCTTGCCCCATCTGCAAAACAATTTTATGAGATAACAGTTGTGATTGTATGTTTCATTCCACATAAGCAAACTTTAATAATTCTTTACTATAAATTTTGCATTGCTTATTTTCAGTTTTGTTCTATACTAGTGTAAAAAATCAAAGATGCAAATTAACAAAATTTGCAATAATATTTACCAATTTCTAATATTTTAATTTTGTAAAAATAATCTTATCTATTTGTAAAGTAGATTCTTTTTATTATTACTAAAAGAACTGATACATTAATTGTGTACATTAATAATTTATAAAGTTGCTCAAAGCAAAGTAGTAGTTTAGATTCTATGTTAACTTTAAAGTCATTATTAATCTTAATCTTTAATCAATGTCAAAGTCTGTTAGTATATCATTTCTATAATATACTAATATTGTAATATGTCTAGTATTCTCTCTTGCTATAAGTAACTGATTTTCAGCTAGATGATTTCTTTTTTCCATTTTTCTCTACATTAATGTAATATATAAGAAGGATTAAACAAAAAAGAGTTTAAGACAATTTATATACATATTAGAGAAAAAATTAAAATATACAGCACTAACTTAAATTGGCAAATCATAGAAAAATAATATGTATCATAATGATATTTTTTGTAGTGTAATATTTTTACTCATATAAATACAATCATTTATGTTGAATATTAATAGATTTGAATAAGATTGACTTATCTGAGAACAGTAAAGATCATTTCTCATAAACTCGTATTTTAATAGAATTGTGTACTCTATGTAAATCTAAAGAATAATTTATTGATTCTATTATTCTACTAAGCAAATCCATAATATTTTATTCAAATTTTGAAACCAAAATTGGAATATATATATATTTGAAATATATATTCAAAGTAAAATATATGTATAAATTTATAAAACTTACTGTCCAATGTATTATAAGCCACAATGCTCCAATATATTGTAAGTCACAGTGCTCCAATATATTGTAAGTCACAGTGCTCCAATGTATTGTAAGCCACTGTGCTTCAATTTCTATATCAATAATAAAATAATATTTCTCTCTAATTACATATCAGATTTTGTAAATCTTTCTTATGCAATTTAAAAATATGTAAAAATGTTAACAGGGTGGGAAAGGAGAGAGGGGAAGATCATACTCTTCACACTACCAGAATTATTAAATTCAATGTTAACTCACCAAGGTTGTATGACCACCCTGAGAATTTTCCAACAATGTATTACCATTAGCGGGAATCATAAGTGCGTTGCATTCTGAAAAATTAAACGTATAAATACGCAAGATATTACGAGCATCATGAAAATCAATAGAGCCGTTCCTCGTACTTGTCTGATTCGATTGTTGGTTGTTATTTAGAAATGTTAGTCCAGTTGACATGATGCGTGTCTGTCACTTAAAAAAAACTTGGAAGTACAGCGAGATAATAAGCAGGCGCGCGTTTGCGAGACGCCGCTATGTATTACATTGATTTTAATTATTCTGATATCCCGAAAATCCGCAGCGCCATTGCTATGTTTTTTCGCGCATAATATCAACCTAACCTAATCCTCGGCCTAGTCCTCTATATCGCTACACTTGAGGGAACATACTTTATTAAACGCGATCGACCTATGTCACTTTATATGAAGATTTTTCGTTTATCGACACGTAGCTCTACACGAATGTTTGGAAAGACACAACGTTAAACAAATGCGATTATGTATCTGTATAATCTCTGTCTCTTTTTTAAATCTGTCCTATATATGTGTGCGTGTGAAACTCTTCGTCAGAGACTTATATCGCTCGCGTTAGTAACGTCTTGGCGCTGCGAGCGGTACGCGGTACCCCTGCAGTGGGTGTGGGTGGTGCATTCGACGAGGAAGGGTTGAGAAAGAAGAGGAGATGGAAATTCGAGCCGAGCACCCGAGACCCGAGCACCCGAGCCAAAATATTTGAACATCTAGAATATAGTTGAAAAGACTTTTCGCACAAGTACATACATCAAATTGTGATCGAATAATTATACTCCCTAGATGATTTTCGGAATTTGTCATTCTCGAATAGGGTCAATTTGGTAATGCATATTTATATATATTATTTTCATTATTTCATTAATGTAGCTGTTAATAAGGCCCGGTTGCACATGTTATTTTGCCTTTAAAATTTTTGGCAATAACCAATGTTATTTGGCTTTCTGCTTTAGGCTTTAGACTATAAGGTAATCAACGATTAAATTATAGTTTAAAGCCTAAAGCCTAAAGTTTTAAGTCTCGCTTAAAGCTAAAATAATATTGATGCAATCGGGGTTAATTATTTCAAGTATAGGCGAAAATGTATTTGAAATGCACTTTTCTTTCGTTTGTTTGCAGATAATCTAAATTGCATTGTGTGTTCCATTTATCAAGGCAGATTATATATGTATATATATATAATACATATAAAATACGTAAACGGAGCATTAGCTGCCGACATGAGCAAGGAAAGGTTAGAAATAGAGCGGGATCAGAATGCGATCTTCGGTTCCTTTCGGGTAGGCTCGGTTCGGTTATATATATTTCTGATTGGTGGATTGACGCGATCGACCTATGTCACTTTATATGAAGATTTTTCGTTTATCGACACGTAGCTCTACACGAATGTTTGGAAAGACACAACGTTAAACAAATGCGATTATGTATCTGTATAATCTCTGTCTCTTTTTTAAATCTGTCCTATATATGTGTGCGTGTGAAACTCTTCGTCAGAGACTTATATCGCTCGCGTTAGTAACGTCTTGGCGCTGCGAGCGGTACGCGGTACCCCTGCAGTGGGTGTGGGTGGTGCATTCGACGAGGAAGGGTTGAGAAAGAAGAGGAGATGGAAATTCGAGCCGAGCACCCGAGACCCGAGCACCCGAGCCAAAATATTTGAACATCTAGAATATAGTTGAAAAGACTTTTCGCACAAGTACATACATCAAATTGTGATCGAATAATTATACTCCCTAGATGATTTTCGGAATTTGTCATTCTCGAATAGGGTCAATTTGGTAATGCATATTTATATATATTATTTTCATTATTTCATTAATGTAGCTGTTAATAAGGCCCGGTTGCACATGTTATTTTGCCTTTAAAATTTTTGGCAATAACCAATGTTATTTGGCTTTCTGCTTTAGGCTTTAGACTATAAGGTAATCAACGATTAAATTATAGTTTAAAGCCTAAAGCCTAAAGTTTTAAGTCTCGCTTAAAGCTAAAATAATATTGGTGCAATCGGGGTTAATTATTTCAAGTATAGGCGAAAATGTATTTGAAATGCACTTTTCTTTCGTTTGTTTGCAGATAATCTAAATTGCATTGTGTGTTCCATTTATCAAGGCAGATTATATATGTATATATATATAATACATATAAAATACGTAAACGGAGCATTAGCTGCCGACATGAGCAAGGAAAGGTTAGAAATAGAGCGGGATCAGAATGCGATCTTCGGTTCCTTTCGGGTAGGCTCGGTTCGGTTATATATTTCTGATTGGTGGATTGATATTCCGAGTCGCGCCGAATTTCCAGGCGCAGGCGCAAATCCTCCCCTCATTGTAGAACAGGCGCTCCATCTATGTATTTTATATGTTTAGACCTTAACTTGCGCGCCGTATTTACTGCGCAACATATATTGCGCAACTGTGCAAGGAGAATCGTCCTGGGGCGGTTAATTTTGCCCTAATTTGTAAGTTTCTCTTTTTATAATTTTGATAATTTACAACATATGCACACATCATGACACAAAAATTTTTTTTTTTTTGGCAGTTCTTGTACAATTTAAATGTAATTCGACAAAAAGTATATCGCCCCTATATAATTTTCGAAGGAAATTTTTTCTGGGCTCTCAAACATTATCACGCATTTTACAGATATTCAGATCATGTAACCTATTTCATATTTTTCATAATTAATTACTCTATCAAGTAGGGTTGTTACATTAAAATTATGTTATTATTAAATGTTATTTTACGTTTGATAAAGTTATTCAATTTTCATTTTTTTTTTATACATACACACACAGACACACGCGCTTTATATGTAATACATACACATTCACACACACACAAAATCAAGTTAAAGTTTAGCAAAAATAACTTTACAAATCTCAAAATTAATCAAAATAATTAATATAAATTTACAGATTATTATCTATAAAAGTATATATGGGATAATATTTTGTAATATTGAGCAATAAAATAATTTTTTTTATTTAAACATTATATTAGATTTCCGAAAATTTTACGTCTTTTTATTACATTAAATCGTGTTTTCTTAATTTTTTCTTCATTACGCATATGTTTCAGCAATAAATTAAGGAGAAATCGGCTCCAAACTGTTAAAATCTGTTATTAAGATTAAAATTGCAAGTTATAGCATATCTTGTACATATGCCATTAAATACCATTTGAAATATCGCAGATGTTGGGCAAAAATTATGAATGATAGATAACTTTTTTGATTGCACTTTTCGATTCAGAGCAGAAGCTAATATATAAGATACACACACATACGAAAAATATATGAAAAATAACATATACATAAGTCAAAAATTATATTTATTATTGGAATTAATTATATACATCACACAATTTATAAATATGGAATTTATTTCTTTTACTTACCGTACAACTCCTTGTATCTGTTGACTATAGCTTCAACATACACAGTGTTGTGCAAACCACGTCGCACGATCTCGTTGTATCCGACGCAGATAATATCCGGATCATCGGCAAACAGTCCTCGATTGAAGCACTTTACGATCATACGTAAGTCCAAATGATTTATTAAGAACCGTAGTTTCTTCAATAGTCCTTTCCGTGAGAGATTTCGTAAACGAGAACGCCATGTAACGTTGCACACTTGATAGAGACGCAACGAACGTTGCACTAATATACGCGTTATCGTGATTACAATTTTATATAAATCTTTTTTTTGTACACTCATCTCATATGCTCTAAACGAAAATAATCACCGTCTTCGGCAAAACAAAAATGTATGAAATTAAATTTTTGTTTGCGTGTTATTCTCGCTATACCGTAGTATGTGTGTGTTTATCGATATCTTAAATTTATTTAAAAGTGTGCACAACGATAACGATAACGGCAAATTGATACGATTCGATATCAATCTAGTATAATGTCCAGCACGAGTAAAATCACATCAATCTGTCGCTATTGTTATGACAAACACCGTTTCCCGTTTAATTATTAACACTGTTCATAGCCTGTATTCGTGAGCGCGGATACTATACACACATCTCTCCAGAGAGGTGATTCGAGTCTCATGACAGAGTAATGTAAACATACCTACCACCTTTTCTAAACACTATGCCTACGTCGTTGTCCTATGCGATGTGTGTGCTTATATATTCTTTAGTTTACAGTCTCTGGGACAAATTGTTCTGAGTAAGAACGGACACATTGATATTTTCCCAACATCGGTAATTAATCCATTATCATATCCCATTTTTCGGATAAAAATTTCATTACAGATATATAAAATAAAATAACAATTATTCGCTAAAACGTACTTTGATTTGTACGTGTATGTGTGTATTTTAGTTCGATTATTTTACTTTTATAAACTTTTCTAAAATAACACATTTACAAATCTGAAAACTTTGCTTTTAACGATAAACAAATGTTCAAATATTGTTTAAATATTTATATTCTCTTATGCATTCTAAATTATTAATTATTTTTCATGAGTCGAGAATGCAAGTTGTTAATTAAAATTAAAAAGCATTAATAAATATGGTGATCAATGGGAATAATAAATACCGATTATAAGTGCAAGTGAACTTCTTAATTATAAGCATACGTGATATTTGTTACATTAGATCTACGCACGATGTTTTATGATATGTTGTTACATATAAATTTTTTTATGCACTTGCTGTGTTTATATCGTCTTCTCGAAAATTTATCTCTTTTTTACTATTTCCCTAGAAAAGGGATTACAATAATACAATTTTTTTTACATATTTGTGTTTCTCTTATATATATGTATAATTTCTATGATTACATTGAACTGATTTCGGTTAGAGACGTCTTCGAAAATCTATTTTAACTATGATATATAGTTTACGTCATCCAGAGACAGCATTTATACTTTTAAATGAATTGTGGGATAAAAATGGATATAATACATGATACTTCGACAGATATTAAAAGAGTCTGAGAGAAGTATACTTATTGAAATATCTAACAATTTTTTCTTTCTAACGCAAAGTCTATGTATAATGTTATATATGTTATATAATGAATATTTACTCTGAGAATAAATTGTTCAATTAGATGATTATGTTACATCAACTTAATATAAGTTAGTTTATTTCAACTGAAATCCAGTCAAATTTAATATTTAGGTACAGAGAAATTTAACAACACTAATATGTGACCTATAAGTACTGTCAAAATTGAGCTATTAACAATAATATAACATATGTTAAATATGTAAAACAATCAACATGTTATATAAAAAATCATATATGATGTAACATTCATAAAATGAACAACCCCATAAGATATCCAGAAGTCTACATAAAAGCCATATACTTTCACTCTATTTTCATAATACGAGTCTAATTATTATAACATAATTTCCCTGCTAACATCGATAATTATCATACGTTATATAAGAGTGCGAGAGAGATTGGTATTCTATATATAATTTATACAAATACACGCATATATATGCGTGTTTAAAGTGTTTTCTTGGATCGATCGTTACGTGCACAAGACGTTTTGTTTCAGTCTTTATAATATTGTATGTAATTTAGTTGTCCATGAAACATCGCTATGTGTGTGATGACCGATACAAGAAATATCACTTATGGTATTACACACTTGTAGTATTTTGTAAAGCGTACTTTAACCATCAATGATGTATGGAGAAAAGATATAGTAGAAATAGGAGATTATTTTTCAATAAAGGATATAAAGTTTTATCAGTCGCAAATATAGAGTATCACGAGACAGATTATAAAATTAACGACATTTTTTTGTTAGTTGAACCCTTTTAATATTGGTCAATGTACGGTTTACAAATTACTACACACACACACACACACACACACACATATATACCGATACAAGAAATATCACTTATGGTATTACACACTTGTAGTATTTTGTAAAGCGTACTTTAACCATCAATGATGTATGGAGAAAAGATATAGTAGAAATAGGAGATTATTTTTCAATAAAGGATATAAAGTTTTATCAGTCGCAAATATAGAGTATCACGAGACAGATTATAAAATTAACGACATTTTTTTGTTAGTTTTAATATTTTAATATTGGTCAATGTACGGTTTACAAATTACTACACACACACACACACACACACACACACACACACACACACACACACACACACACACATATATATATATATATAATTTTGTATGTAATTATCCCAGAATTTAATAGAGACGTTATATATTTTTATTTATCGTGTGCCTCGAGTGAATGAGTTTCCTCATAGAAGCATAAAACAAAAATTGATTTTTGTATTTCTGATTATATGGAATTATATGGAAGGTAATATTAATTCCATAAATAATTTTTCTGCTGCTACAATCTTTACATATGTGTATATATGTGTGTTTGTATATGTGTATTTTTCACTACTAATTTCATATTTTTTTCTTTCAACAATATACACAGTTGTCACAACATATATATCTTATACATATAGTAAAAGTATATGATAAAGATATTCAATAGATTCTAAAGAGAAGTTTAGATGGACATTTGGAAATAACGATCAACAATCTGTTTAAAAACAGAAAACAAATGTGATATATAGTAAAATCTATACTTAGAATATTTACAAGTGAAAATTGTTCTTAATTAATTTATTTTTATCCACGTTTTCTTTTAAATTATCGCCAATAGAGGATAGTGAATCGATTACAGTATCTATGATACGTATTCGTCGCATCAAGTTTAAATCTTTCAGGCCTTTCAGTTGCAATCTTGTATATTAAATTTTTATTTACTTTCTATCGATCTAAAGGCGTTTTTCATTCGGATAAAATCTCAGACTACGGAGATATGTTATCATATATATTAATTTTTTTAGACTCATCATCGTCTTTTTCATTATGTCTTCGAGATATTGAATTATTTTTCCAAAATAAGTTTGATACAGCCATTTATTTCTTCTCGATCATCCAAATGATTAGATAAAAAAAAAAGAACGGACAGTTTCACAAATAGAAATAATATTACATAGAGCATCAGCAAATTTTTGATAGGCACTTTTGATTAATTGGATCAATTTAGTCTTACCTTGAATTTCCTGATACTCTAAAATTCGTGAACATTGTTATAAAGTTAGAAGGAAGCAATAAGTAAAATATTTTGACAAAAAAATACGAGTCAGACGATAATAAGGCTGTCATAAATTTTTATAGGTCTAGTGAATGCGGCATTAAAAACATTGGTTCATTCTTTACGCTCATCCACAAATATTTGTTATTTTATCACATCGTATCTCAGCATATCTTATAATAGCATAAAGACGAGATACGCGCATTCATACGTACATATACGCATCATATACACACATAGGCATATTTGCAAATCTCCATATACAACACATGCACACGCGCATATATGTAGAAAAGCACATTAATCTTTAATAACATATTTTGTTAAACTTGTTGAATTTAAAAATAAATCTTTTTTAGCGAGAATATTGACAATTATTTAAGCAATAAATGATTAAGAATCAATAACTTTACGAATTAAGTTTCAGAGTTGAAAGAAGTAATAAAACTTTATATTTATTTTAAAATAGATTTATATTTCTAATATTTAATATTTGAAAAATATTGAAGATTTTAAAATCTAATCGCGACAAAAATAGAGAAAGAGGGAAAATGATTTTATAGCATATTGACTATGGAAAAAAATTTATTCTAAATTAAACGTTTTAAATAAAAAATATTAAAATTTGAGTATACAATTAGTGGAAAATCTTTTAAACATAGATATATCAAACTGACATTTGTTTAACTATTAGAGATGACTTGGTGATAATACATTGCGGTAAATGATTTTTTTTTTATATTAATATTTTACTAAGAAAAATTGCAATCTCTGAATGCATCGAGGAATATATTATTATAATTTAATACTACGAAAATAAGATGTGTGCCTTAATTACTTATATAATTTGCGCGCGCGCATGTATTTATATCTATATATATATATGCGAATGCTTTGCATATGAATTCGTGTGTGTATGTATACGTTATTATTTATGTTATAATTTATTAATAATGTTCTTTTCATCGTCCACATTTTATAGTGTATCGATCATAAGTAACAAACCTCATATATTGATAAATTGAGTTGTTACCAGTCGTAGTCGTGTTGATGAAAAGGATTGGTGCATGGTTGTTGGGCGTGTAGTTGAATAGTTGGTTTTACGACATCGAATTCCCTACCCACCACTTCATTGTAGATCTATCAAACAAGAAAATATCTCATTAGTTTTCTCTGTATAGTATATATCTCATTGGAATTTATTAATATTCTTGTGGCAAAGTATGGATAGGATTTCTTGTTCAGTGAGTTTCGGAGAAGCCTTTTATAGAAGAGATGCAGGCAATAAAGCCTAAAGAATCTTTTTTTGTTATCTTTTTTTATCAATAGAAATATTGCATCCTCTTGCTGGACATTTTAATTAGAATGGTTTTACTGAACCTGGAAGCTCCTACGAATATACTCGTCCTCTCCCTTGCCAGTCATACCGTAATTATATCCACCTTCGCCGCCACCTCCGCCGTTTATGAATGGATTTGTTGGATTGCCAGGACCTGTGCGAATAAAAAATTATAAAGTAGAAATATAAGGGAATAATCAGTTTAAAATAATTAGCCGTGAAAATCGATCGAAAACTCTCAAATTCTCTTACAGAGAGATTTCTTTTTTTCTATTTTCGAATTATTACGAATAAAATATCGCGAATAGAATAGTTTCTCACCTCCATTAGCACCGGGTACGGCCAGATTTCCACCAGCAGTTTGATAAGTAGCACCATAACCAGCATCTTGATTAGCTAGTTCATGTAAGCGGGTAGAACTGAGGGCTCTCGGTATAGCATTACTTGGTACACCATGTGGTGCCAAATGAGTAACTTCGGCTACTTGATGCGGATCTTCCGTTGGTGGTAATTCAGATACGAAACCGGTATCTTTTCTATAGAAATTGATGAAGACAAAGACTGCTAGGACAATGATACAAATGAGACCGTACGCTCGGAAAGTTGCAGTCGTACCTGTACATTGAATATTTATTTATCAATAGTATTAAATGGATTAATATGACATTATCGTCATTACAAAATTAATATCAAAGATTTCGATGTGTATCAACAGATATTAAAATATTAAGTTTTACATAAATTATTTTGAAATGTGTGATTTTCTTAGAGATATGATTTCTTTATATAAAAACTAATAATATATATATA